AATATAGCTTACATACCTTGCCTAATCGAGGGGAGTCCTCGAAGTGTTGGCTCGCAACATTTCGGCTCTCTCTATCAACTTATGACCTCGGTTGAGGCTCACCCACACGAGATGGCCTGAGAGGCTCGATTCATTGATCTGGCGGTCAATATATGCTAGATCAACTCACAACCCCAGCGTCCCGTCAGCCACCAGTCTCACGAAGCTTTGCCAGTGCTACCACGATGCCTTGGTCAATCGCCTCTGACTGGGCGCCAACTTGGGACCTTTGCTCTTCAATAGTATCTGCACATATCTCGGGCTTGCTGCACTCCGACTCCGCAAGCAGGAACTCTTCATCAAATTGCTCCTGACCCTCATTTGACCTTGAAGAGGCGCCAGCCGTCTCAGTCTCCAGCTCTGCCAGTCGACGATTTCTATCTCTATTGGGAGCATTCGCCTTCTTCATCGACTCCACTCGAAATGGCTCCCTCACTGTATTATACCATTGCTTGACCTTCTTTTCTCCCCATCCAGGGACCGCGCTTATCTGCTCTGACGGCGCATTGATCGCGTTCTGTAGGCTTCCAAAGGTGGAGATTAGGCTCGCAGCGTCCGACTTATTAATGCTGCGGGGAGTAGTCACAAATTCGACTAGTGATTCCTTGTAGGATTGGGCCTGCTGCGTGCGAATAGCTGTAGGTTGAGAATTTTCGGATGACTTATACAGCTCCAAGTAGTGTGCAGCTTCGGGTGCAGACCAGCACAGCATCAATGTAAGGTCATTGATGAGGGACGTCTTAGACAGTTCCCGAAGGCTATCTTCATGATTTGCTATATCCACCATCACTAAGACAATGCGCAGTAGATACTTCCCTGCTAGCTGCCGTATGCGCGAGTAGATGTATTCAGGATGTAGGCGGTGGTACTTGAGCGACAAGAACAGCGCGCAGCTAGTGTTGCCGATCACGTAGTCGGCCGGAATATCCGCATATTCCCAAGGTACGATCTTGATATGGTTCAAGATCGGGTTTCCTTTCTGTCGTGTAGAGACAAGTATAGCGGAGAGACCGGATCTATTGGGCAGTGCCTGTGGCTTAGGCTGTTGGATTCTAGGTGGATTGAACGCTTGGCCTGATGTTGAGACCGTGGGAGGTGCGCTGGACTGTGATCGCTCGCCTCTGCCATTGGATTCGCTTCCCATATTCTCTCCGAAGAGCGATATGAGCACAATGTATTCACTGCTTCACAAGCCTCCACTCAACACTGGAAGAGAAAGAAGCCACAGTCTGAGAAACGGATCGGAGCTCAAGTTGGACTTGATTGAGCTTGAGAAGCTGCGCTTCTCGCTGTTGGCTGGCCTTCCGACCGGTATGCCCTCACGTGCAACCTGGGTGCGTCATGAATTTCCTACTCCCAGACGTCGAGAGTTCGAGCCGCTCCTTAGACATGCCGCAACTCAATCCAGAACTTGTCCGTAACCTGCGGGAAAAGCTTTTCGATATCTTCGATTGTTCTACCGATATCATACCTCTAAGTATCAATATAAGCTCCCCTCCCCTTCCTGTCGTGCTTGTTCGCACTGGCATACTAGGCATGTAGTACCTAAGCCCGGCAAGACGAGATGGATCCGGGAAATTACTGGTCTCTGATTCGAGCGCCTCGTATCTATCTAATCTTCTTCCTCACCGCCCTGAGACCCGCTTTTGCCTCGAGACTTTTGTCCTTGCTGGGATTTTTTTGCCGCGGATTTTCCTACGAAAAAAAGTCATTCATACACCAATCATGGCCAACACTGACGATTCTCGCAACGAGAGCCCCGTCGAGGGACAAGTCAGCCAAAATAAATCTGTGGCCGTTGCTGATACGCAGAACCAGGCAACAGCCCAGCCGTCCTCGAACCAACCTCGCAGGGAGTTGTTCATTCGATCGCTTCCCGCCTCAGCGACCACCGAGAGCCTCGCAGAACATTTCTCACAATCCTACGTGATCAAGCATGCCATCGTCGTCACCGACTCAGAGACAAAGCAATCGAAGGGCTACGGCTTCGTGACTTTTGCTGATGTTGAAGATGCGAAGGCTGCCCTGGAGGAACTCAACGGAACTGTCTTCGCAGGGAAGAAAATTAACGTCGAGTATGCGCAACCGCGCCATCGTGTTGTCGACGAGAACCTCGGCAAATCTAAACCATCTACCGAAGCCCTTGAGCTCAAGAAGCAAAGAGAGCAACAGAGAGCGGCTGCTGTGCCACCCAGATTGATCGTCCGAAACCTTCCGTGGAGCATTAAGGAACCCAACGATTTGGCAGTGCTCTTCCGGAGTTATGGAAAGGTCAAGCAAGCCTATCTCCCCAAAAAGGGAAACCAGCTGGCCGGTTTCGGCTTCGTGGTGCTGAGGGGAAAGAAGAACGCAGAGAAGGCGCTAGAGGGCGTCAATGGCAAGGAGGTAGACGGGCGGACACTGGCTGTTGATTGGGCAGTGGAAAAGAATGTTTGGGAGAATTTGCAAAAAGAGCAAGATAGCGCGGAAAGTGACGAGCAAAATGAGGAGCCAAAAGATACTAAGATGGCGGATGAAGACGAGGAAGCGGCAGAGGCTGACTCTGATGTTGTCGAGGACGCTCTTTCCGCAGACGAGGACGAGGATCTCGATAGCGAAGACGATCTTGATGAGGAAGAGTTGGAAGGTGAAGGCATCGATGAGCAGGAGGCAAAAGAAGATGAAAGAGATGCATCGACTATCTTCATCAGGAATCTGCCTTTCACGTGTGACGATGAGATGCTCTATGAGCATTTTACCCAATTTGGCCCCCTTCGCTATGCACGAATCGTCGTTGACCGAGAAACTGAGCGTCCTCGTGGGACCGGGTTTGTTTGCTTTTGGAAAGTGGACGATGCAGTATCATGTGTGCGCGATGCCCCCAAACAGCAGGATTCCCTTGCCGCAGACAAAGACAAAGGCAAGAAAGCATCCACGTCATACAAGCAGTCTGTTCTACAAAATGAGAACGCTGATCCCAGTGGGCGTTACACCTTGGATGGCCGTGTGCTTCAGATCGCTCGTGCAGTGAGCAAGTCTCGTGCCACCGAACTCGAGGAAGAGGGTGTTTCTCGTCGCCTTGTTCGCGATACTGACAAACGTCGTCTTTACCTTCTTCAGGAGGGTACCATCGCACCCAATTCCTCTCTCTACAAGAAACTCTCACCTTCTGAAATTAAGATGAGAGAGGACAGCTATAAACAACGACAAAACTTCATCAAGAAGAACCCGAGCCTTCACCTCAGTCTTACGCGTTTGTCCATTCGCAATATTCCCCGCCATATCACGTCGAAGGATCTTAAGCAGCTGGCTAGGCAGGCCGTTGTTGGTTTCGCCCAGGACATGAAAAACGGCGTGCGCCAACCCTTGTCAAAGGAGGAGCTGGACCGGGCTGCTGATGTCATGCGCGAAGCAGAGCAGCAGCGGAAGAAGAAGGGCGTGGGAGTCGTCAGGCAAGCCAAGATTGTTTATGAGAGTCGCGATGGAAGTAAGATCAAAGAGGAAAGCGGAGCAGGCCGGAGTAGAGGTTACGGCTTCGTCGAGTACTACACCCATCGCCATGCTCTCATGGGTTTAAGATGGCTCAATGGTCATGCTGTCGAGCCTCCCAATTCCGCAACCCCTGATACCCAGGACAAGAAAAAACGGCTCGTCGTTGAATTCGCCATCGAGAACGCCAATGTCGTTAAGCGTCGCAATGAGCAGCAGTCTAAGGCACGCAGTTTCAAGAAGGAGCAAGAGCCAGGCGATGGTGCCTCGAAACGTGGTGCGCAGGATAAGAGCTCCCAGTCGGGACAGAAGCGAAAGCGTTCTGATAACAGCAGCGACAAGAACGATGCTGGTGAAGATGCGGAGGAACAGAACAAGATCGCAAAGCGAAACCGGATTATTTCAAAGAAGAGAATGCAACGGAGAACTCGGAAAGGGAAGGCCTAGACACGGGTACACTCAAAAGTTCAACAGGGTCACCTAGATAGCTAATGGTCATTGTGCATACTTATACTGGCAATCCGCAGAGATCAGTTGGGATATTACTTAAATACAGATAGACTAAGATACTAGGTATCACAACAACATATCAAGGCACCAGATGCCAGTCCTTAGGCATATTTGGCGCGCTTATGATGGAGGAGCGCTGGCTAATCAAGGAAGTACCGCAAATGCCTTATTCACTTCTGTCAATAGTTGGTGGCGTCTTGCACTTTCCCAACAATATTGTACCGTTTGCTAAAGAACGTGAACCATTCATCGAGTACCGTCTTCTCTTTATCCTCGAGATCGTACCAGTCAGGTCGGCAATCCTCAGGCTTGAGCGACGAGGAGGCCAGGGCGCGGGAGGGATCCTTCCCGGCGAACACTGCAATCGGACAAAGACATGAGTACAACGAGAACATATACATGTACCAATTGTCGGGTCATTTGAGCAGCCCGGATTTTAACCCACCGTGGTATTGCCCGCTCGGGCTGTATGCAGCGTTGCGAGTCACGTCAAAAACAATTCCCTTGATTGCGACCAGCGTAGGACGATTTGGATCGGTGCCTGGAAGTCGCACTCGGTCAGAGATAGCGTGTATCTAGGTATTTCTTAATAAAACCAACTGACCGTCGCATTTCGATAGTTCCTCCACAGTTATCAGATCGTATTTGGGAGGGTCGAGCTGGACAGGGATTTTAGGAGAAAAACGCTTCGGCTCGGGCTCGTGTTCAACCATGGTGTCTCACTGATGGTCATACAACTTCGCCTGGTGAGTGATTAAGTATGATTCCAGATCCCATAAGCAAGCAAGCTAATGTAACCAAGGAAAGAAGTTGATGGTGGGATTCGGCACGAGAAGACGCGGGGCAGGCGGGGGAAGAAGTGCTCGGTCCGGTGCAACCGTGGGTCGGAACTTGGGAAAAAGCGACCTCCAATTCAGTTCTCTGCCATTGGTCTGCATTTGAAGTACGCGGTACTCTTTTTTTTTTTTCCTCATTGAAAGTATTTTCATACTCATAACTCAACAAACTGAGGAGGTTAAGGTTATTGTTTTATTGATCAGCAGCCTGTTTTCTTCCACCGTCTTTCAATCTATATAAAGATTGAGGTTGCATGTACTGTACTTGGAGGGCACACAGTACTTCGAGTACCAAATTTGCATAATACGACTACTTTGGGCATCTGATGTAAGGAACTTCGGAATGCTGGCCAACAACTGTATCCATCCGAATACTGTGCATTTCCCAATGACGAACATCCACCTACCTCTCAGAATTCTCATATATTTTCAGATCCGCTGATTTTTTTTATCATCGCATTATCTCCTCCAACTTCAATTATCACTGTTGCTCAAACAATGTCCCCAAGTCACTTCGATCAGCCGGGGAAGTTTGAGTCCGTACCTCTCCCGACAGAGAGGCCCGAAGTCGGTGAGGCTCCCCACTCACAAACTCGCCAGCAGAGCCCTCTGGAGCCAGACTTATCGCATCACCTATATTTTGAAGATAATGATGGCTTCTTTCCTCCAAGTTGGCTGGGGCAGAAGCCCCCTGTCCAAGGCCGAAGTCGTCCGTCGACCGCAGAAACCGAAACGACAGCGCGATCCCACTAGTCATGAGGGCTTACAACCTGCCTCGCTCTCTCTCTCTCTCTCTCTATTCTACCGAATCAGATTTGGTTGGACGTAACAATGGCGCTCTTCGGAGATTTCACTGCATTTGTTTTTCCTGGCTGGACAATTCTCTGCTGGTGCTTTACTGAGGCCATCGAGTTGTTAAATTTACCATGATTCACCTCCTCTCCGGCCTTGATAAATGAGATGTTCTCTGCAAGTAGCACGGTTAGAACGAACCTTGGAGACCGTACTACTCCGTACAGTATGTACATACAGCACATTGTCGTCATGTGATCGCGGCAAATGGGCGCCTCGGGCAGTGACGTTATGTCCTGACCGTATGTCTCGGTTCTGTAATCATTTTATTCACAACAGACAGTAAAAAGTCTAACGTTAGGCTACGCTACGTATTGTTCTCCGTGCTCCGTGACTTGAAATTGTTGTAAATTGGCGTCCCCCACCCCATCTTTCTCTCTCCAACAAGTTCCCGCACACTTCTCGCACCCCGCCAGATCATACCAATTTGACAATGACCTACCTACCCTCTCCTCTTTTCCTTTGATGCAATCCTGGAGCCATCATTATTTCGGAGGCTGGCATTGGAAATCCTTTGGCTGACATATGTTAGTTACATATAATTGATGGAAGCCTCATGGGTTAAGGAATTTTGCTGTGGGGTTTTCTGAGCCCTCCCTTTGGTCCCTCCGCGCTTGTCTGTTGTCCATCTCCGGGCTAGAAGTAAGGGCCTTATTATCTGCCCGCCATTGTGGGGAGCCAAAATGGAGTCGACCGTGCTGGAGATATCCTTCTTGCTCTACGATTTGCTTTTTTGCGTGTCTCTTGACATACCTGCCGAGGTAGGCCAGCCAATTCAGCAGGCAACTGTAATAAATCATAGTGATTACGATCATGATACCGTCTCACGCCCGCTTCTAGTGGCTTGCTACATATACGACGGTCTCCCTTCGTCCGCTGCTTTCTTAGCCCTTGGTCTCCTCTCCGGAGTTTCTTTCTGCATTTTTTTCATGCAGCGCCTTCTGCCTTCTATCGATCCTTGGTCTTCGCCCATCCGAATGAACCAGAATTGCAGTTTTGGGTTAAGGCCATATACACGCTTCGCAGATGACCATTGCGACTATTATCCATGAGGGGCGATCCCCGACGATAGATTGTCCTGATAGCAAGCATGCTGCCAGTCACCAAGAACCCCATGAAAAGGGTGGGGTTGTCAATGGTAGTGAAGAGTCTGCTGTCTGTTCAAACACATTCGCCTCCGACCATACACATCGCAAGCTTAAGCCCAGGCACATACAACTTATTGGCATCGGCGGTACAATTGGCACAGCACTATATGTGCAGATTGGTAAAGGCTTGATGCATGGCGGCCCTGGCAGCCTGTTCCTGGCCTTTTTGATTTGGTTAGTTTCCCAATACTGCCCCCGATTTGTCTTCATACTACCCTTCCTCCCCTCCCCTACTTTTACCCTCTTCCATCTCAAACCGGCAAATATTGTCCCAGAGAGCTTGCCTCAATGAGTGAGTCAACTATCACTGCAAATCGGCCAATGCATCCACTGGTTGGATGACGCATTGGGACCTGCTGGTCAACTTGAACGAGCCGTTTTTACAACCCCCGTGGAAACTTAAGTAGGATATGCCTGCTACACATATTTGATCTGGCTGTGAAATAGCACGGCTTTGCATATGGCCTTTGTGATCAAATGCCTCTTTTCACCATACGTGGAATGCCAAATCTTATATGCTCTTGGAATAGGTCCCTAGTCATCCTCTGTATAACAGTCTGTAAGAGGCCCTATTGTTCAATCCTGTTGGCTTCTCCCCTCGCGGTCCGAAATCATTTTTTCCGGTTCTACCTCTGCCAACAAATGCACCTCGAGCCTTGCACTATTTCGAGATGGAGAACCTTTGAAAGCATGAATACGCCTGCGTTTCTGCCGATCATCAGTCCCTAGGCACCCTGTATCCGTTTCACCTGGTATGACCGTCGCTGAACAAATTCTTGTGCTAGGCCTGGCAGAAATGGTTACCTACTTGCCCATCTCATCACCTTTCATTAGATTCGCTGGTCGATATGTCGACGAAGCCTTCGGCGTAGCTGCTGGCTACAACTTCTTCATATTCGAAGCCGTTATGGTTCCGTTCGAAGTTACGGCATGTAATATGATCATCAACTACTGGAGTGATGTCGTCCCAGTTGCCGGGATTGTTATCATTGTACTGGCACTCTACGTGTGCGTAGCCTCTCCTGCATTTTGATGGACCGTTGGACCGCACTTTTCTAACCAGATCTGAACCTGTTGACTCTTTAGTCTTTTGAATCTCTTTGCCGTCGAATGGTATGGCGAGTCTGAGTTCTGGCTTTCTCTCAGCAAAGTCTTACTCAGCGTGGGGTTGATATTCTTCACATTTATTGTGATGGTTGGAGGCAATCCTCTCGGCGACCGGTTCGGCTTCCGGTACTGGAGGAATCCTGGAGCCTTCGCAGAATATTACAAACCTGGCGATCTTGGGCGATGGCTTGGGTTCTTGGCTTGTTTGATTCAGGCCAGCTTCACCATCGCCGGACCAGATTACGTCTCAATGGCTGCCGGGGAGGCAGTCAATCCTCGTGGAGTTTTACCGAAGGCTTACAACGGCATATTTCTTCGGCTCACGGCATTCTTTGTTTTGGGGGTGCTTTGCATCGGCATTTTGGTTCCTTATAACGACCCCGAAATGGCGGCTGCGTTTGAACAAGATTTGCCCGGCGCTGCGTCATCGCCTTATGTGATTGCAATGAATCGGTTGCAAATCCCCGTGCTGCCACACATCGTCAATGCCATGATTCTCCTTGCTTCGTTCAGCGCGGGTAACAGCTATGTTTACTGCGCCAGCCGTAGCCTTTACGGGCTTGCGCTTGATGGCAAGGCGCCACGTATCCTCACCAAGTGCACCAAGAAGGGTATACCGATCTACTGCGTGCTGGTCGTGCTTCTTATCTCTCTCCTTGCGTTCTTACAGGTTTCCAATGGCTCAGCAGTCGTACTTAACTGGTTTGTTAGTCTGGTAGGATCCCCTCGCAGAACGTGCCATTAGCTCGAATGTTGACCAGAGTGACAGATGACAGCCTCCCAACTCATCAATTTCTCAGTCATCACCTTCACATACACTAGATTTAGAAAAGCTCTGATCGTACAGGGCGTGGCCCGGCAGATTCTACCCTACCGGAGTTGGGGCCAACCTTATGTCGCCTACATAGCTTTGGTCTCCACATTCGTCATGACCTTCGTCGGAGGATACACAGTATTCCTGCCCGGTAACTGGGACGTACCGACATTCTTGTTTTCGTACACGATGATCGCGGTGTTTCCGATCATTTATGTCGGCTATAAATTATTTTGCCGGACAAAGCTTTGGAAACCCGAAGAGGTTGATATAATGACTGGTGTGGATGATATAGATGAGTATACGAAGAGCTATGTCGAAGTACCTTCGCGGTAAGCCCTCAACCCCCAACGAGTATGCATGACTGCCATGACGATTCATGTGAACTGACAAGACACAGTAATCCTTTCTCACGATTTGGCGATTGGCTGTTCGGCTGATCTACTTACATCGTCGGACCAAAGAGAGGTGGCAAACATGATGTGTTCTATTGCTCCACGCGGGAGATATATGATCAAGATATAGTTGTGAATGTGACGCGCGGTCCGGCTAGGCGTCCCTGTAAATTATTCAACCTGCAGAAAGCATATAACAACAGCACAAGACATTACGATTCGCAGAATCGCCCTCCAGCAGCCGAGGCGACCGAATTGTCTCTTCTCGGTGCCAGTTGTGAGACTACCTAGTTTTCCTGTCCCTGGTTCTGTTCCTTTTTGATAGCATCCATCCTCAATTTGTTCCGCTTGCCCAAGACTCTCAATGTATTTGTCCGCTCGATCTCAGTCATTTGCTCCCAGTTGGAGATTCTCGATAGTGTTCCATCCTGGTTGACGACCAACGGGCCTAGATGGTCCAGCTTCACGGATGACCCATCACCACTGACGTCGAGCTGTCGCGTCGCAGAGTCGACACTATTTGCATCTGGAAGAGCCAGGTATTCTTTCCGCTCCTGATTTTCAGAGAGGGTGGCGGTGCCCGTAGTCTGAGGCTCTTGGGAAGTGGCCGTCGACATCGTTGCGCAGAAACTGGTGTTATGGTGACGGTAAAGATGGGTAGCGAAGCAATGCGGATAACTAGGGAGATGGAATTGGAATCGTGGCGTACTGATCGCTAATGCGCGGGTGGATGTGGATGTGGTAAGCAGTGGGTTGAGGAGAATGTTGAGGAGAGAGGCACGGGTCAAAGGGCCAGACATGTGCATTATATGTCAGTTACCTAAGCTGGAGCTTTAGTAGGGTGCAAGAGAGAGAGAGAGAGAGAGAGAGAGAGAAAGGGAATCGAGTGACGTGTGACAGACAGGGAATAAAGGGATTTTTTATCTTGTGAGGTGGAATAAGGTGGTGAGAGGGAGCTCTTGGGCGGGACCGCGGCGAGGAGAGGATTCTAGAACTTTAGTGAGGGACAACCGACACTTGCCCTCTATAGCTTCACTACTGAGAATACAGGCTTCGAGGTGCTTCCAATGCGATCGAAAACTCTTCCCCCTGTTTGTGGTGGCTCTTCTTTGTTTTTTTGTTTTCTTTTTCCCTTTCCCATAATAGAGTTGTATACTATAGACGGGGAAACATATGATTCGATTCTACTTTTTTTTTTTTTTTTTTTTTTACAATCCACGGACTATGGCTGCATTTGGCAGCACTTATTATCTGAACCACCAGTTGACCTGGTGAAAGATTAGTAAACTCCCTTTGGCGAACGTGACAGCATGGGATCTTACCGAAGCAGTCACACTATCCCCCAGTCCCTTGATGCTATGCCACCATCCTCGAGGTATGAACATACCGTCTCCAGCCTCTAGGTGCGCTTCGAATCCGATGGGACCACTAGATTCGGTAGCTGCATCATCCCAGACAGCCTGCTCAAGCAGCACCCTCTCCTCGCCGTGCATCATGTCATCTCCCCGAATTGCAGCAGATTCGCGGCCGGCGCTCTTCCCCAGTCGGCGTCGCACCGCGCCGAATACCCTTTGCCCTTCCGAGGGTGGTAACAATCGCACCACCTTCCGTCCGGCCAGCTGGACAAACAAATTTGGGTTCGGATCGCGGTGAAGAGGGGTATACGTGGGCGGATATCCGATCCAAATGTTTGTATCGTAGACATCGCCCTTTCCTACCTGCGCAACCAGGTCTGGGGTGGGGAGATCGTCGCGAAGGACCTGCGGCAAGTCAAGGAGCTGGCACTGCGCCAGGTACAGACGCATAGTGTGCGATTCGAGAGATTCCGCAGTAGATATCCATTCGAGGAATAGGCTTAAAGGCGCATAGAACTGCCGAAAGCCATGCTCACCCGCTCCAGTACTAGTTCTAGCAGGAGCCTGTGTCAGCTCCAAGGGAACCAGAGCATCCGCGCCATATTGACTGAGATAGGCGGTGTCCAATCGGGACGGCGAGTCGCGGAACCATTTCTCGAAGGCGGGAAGGGTTTGAAAATATCGGAGGGGGAGGATTATAGGGTGTTCAGGGATGAAGTATGCCTGACGAAAGTGGTCGGGCTTAAAATCCTCGAGGGATTCCAATGGGCGGTACTGGCGTTGCGATGCCGTCGTGGAGAAAGAGCTGAGGCACTGTTGGCTTGGTTGGTTGCAGTGAAAGTGCCTCCTCCATACCCGGAGGTTATTGTAACACGACCGTTGGGGGACTTTCATCCAGATTGGTGAGATATAACTAGTAAATCGATCTGGCAGACAGATATTCTGGTGCGGTGTTTTCAAATTTCAGGCCAACATGGTTGGGGGGAGACTGGAAGGTTGGGGAAATTTCCGCCCCGAGCTTCTACCAGTTCCCTTCCCCAAATTGGGCCAATTCTTAACTTGGAAAGTGATAAGCTTATCGCCTTAGAGTCACTCTCTCACTCTACGTAACCGGGACCCAGTCCGACCGTTCACCCGTCTGGGGAAAACGGAAACCCCGCGCGCCCATCCGCTGAGGAGAAGGAATCTATCCGCACCAGTCACTGCTTGCTTCCACGCCAACGAGCAATCGTCGCATCGTGTTTCTCACCTAAAATGGCTTCTGAGTCTCCCCAGACTGATATGGCACCACCCCAGCCGGACTCCACGGACCAGAACGAAGCCCCGGCCGCCGATGCGACGAAGAGGAAGGCGGAACAGACTAACGGAACGCATACTCGCACCAAGCGGAATCGCTACATCTCTATCGCATGGTATGATTCCGGCTCTAAAATCCACCGAGACAAAATCCCAGACCTCAGTCATTTGCGGGACTCCAATTTGCTGACACAAGGCTGGGTCCTTTCCTTTGTGTTTAGTAATGAATGCAAACGGCGCAAGATTAAGTGCAACGGCCAGGTACCTTGCCAACGCTGCGGACACCTTAATCTCGAGTGTTAGTTGTCACCGCGAGGGCTGTGTAACTCAGAGATGACGTCGATGCAAGGGACAAGCTGAGTGATTATCCTAGGCCGATATGCCCCGAACTGCTGCAACAACAATTTCAAGGATTCCGAGTAAGTTGACTGGGCAATGATTCCCTTGATTCCGCGTCACATACACCCCCGAGGCGCCATGGCTCACCGAACATCTTACATAGAGAATTTCGTTCGATGAAAGACCAAATCAAGACTTTGCAAGATCAAGTCAATAGTCTTTTTTCCAACCTAAAGGATCTTCGGTCTCAGCGATCGTCTTTAGACCCACCGGGCTTCGATGGGTTCTCTCGAGATGGCTCCCAATCAGTCTTCACGCCAATGCATGCACCATTGGGGAAACCTCGCATGAAGCATCCGCGCTTTCAGGGCCCTACTAGCTCTGCTTTCAACTTTGATGTCGCACGTTCCAGCTTGCAGAGCATGGGCATTGCGCCAGCTGAGGAGATAACAGATGATCTCACCACAGCACATGCCACCCCTGCCGGTTCACCTCCGCATGTGGGACAGCTTGTTTCCACAATACATCCAACTAAAGACCCGATATGGGTTATCAAGAGGGATGAAGCCCTGCGACTTTGCCAGGTGTACGAGGAGGAAGTTGGAATCATGTATCCTCTCATAGATATTGAACAGGTAGCGCAACAAGTGAACTTGCTCTACACATTTGTGGAAGCTGCAACACGGACTGGCTTTGCACAGAGAGGTCTCCCCGGTGCAGATGGCCTCCATGACGATAGCACGCTTCTTTTGAAGATGATTCTCGCAATCACTTTGGTGATAGAAGGGGGCGGCCAGAGCGAGCTAGCACGGCGCCTGTACCTAAATGTCAAGCCGGTTGCTGAAGCTAAAATCTGGGATCCACTGGACATTAGGACTATTCAACTATATGGTTTGATGGTATGTCCTGTTCTGGAACCACCAAAATACGATTGTTGACCGTGTGTCTAGGCAACCTTTCATTTCCATTCGGATGATGATGCCATGGCATACCGTATCGTTGGCATTGCAGCGCGTATGTGTCTTGAAATGGGCCTGCACCGACGAGATGCGCTGGCAAAATCATTTCCCAACGAAGACCAGTGGCCTACCATTGTGAAGACCTTTTGGTCGGTATATAGTTTGGACAGGCGTTGGAGCTTTGGTACTGGGCTTCCCTTCATCATTCAAGATGAAGACATTGATCCCAATCTGCCCGAGCCGGTGAGCGCCGTCGTTCGATCATCGAACCAGTTACTCGTAGAGCTAACCGATCCTTAGGACGCGTCTCTACTTTATCTTAGGTGCATGATATCGTACAATCGTATCAGCTCCAAGATATGGTACTCTGGACTTGGCTCAGAAGGAGCAACTGACATACGACGCGATGAGATTGGCTATTTGGACTATCAGATTCTACAATGGTATAAACAGGTTCCGGATGGGCTGAAGTTCTACCCAGTCGATGTTCCAAAGCATCACCACGGTGAGTCAACTAGCCGAGGTCTTCGAAGATTGAGGATTCTCTTATATCTACGCATGAATCAGCTTCGGATCCTCATTTACCGGCCGGTGCTGCATTCCGCGGTGAGCATCGCGGAAGACAAAGGTCACGCGCAGACCGTGGTGGATATTGCAAAAGACACGATTCGAGTGCTCACTCGGCTCAACGGGACGTCCGACATCTATCGCACGCAGCAAATCACTTTCAACTATTTTCTAGTCGCCGCCTTAGCGGTCCTCTTCCTCGCTGTATGCCATGCACCGAATGACTTCAACCGGCAAGTGCGGGACGAATTTTACATGGCTCTTGAGCTGGTCAGCGGGTTCAGTACCAAATCTTATGTATCCAAGCGACTCTGGAAGACAATCAAGGGTCTCCGCAAGATAGGCGAACGGTTGGGTGTCATTGTACGACCTTTTGGCACTGATTCCAACGACCCTCATTCTTCCGCGGCTGTCGCAATGGCCGGACTGGCTGGCCACCAGATCGAGGATCTTTCGGTGTATGGGTCGGTGAATGGCACTGGAGAGCTAGGAAACAGCCCGCTGAATGGGCTGCAGATGAGCCATGAACTTACGAATCTTTTCGAGGCGGTTGGGGGTTTTGGCAATTTCATGACTTCGGGAGGGGCGTCAGAGAGCCTTAATGGCTTTATTGGCCAGGATGGGGAGATCCAAAACACCGGGGAAGGGTTGTCGGGTGTTCTTGGAGATGAAGGCGAATGGTCGCGTGTTATACGGAATTTATTTTAGATGTTTGAGCTGTATTCAGGACGTGGCTACAGCCTGTCTGTGGCTATCACCTCGCCGATGAATGAGAGCTTTCCGAATCGTTCTTCATGCCAGACTTAGGGCCTTGATCATTCATAGTATCCATAGTAATTCGTCTGTTCGGTAGAATCCGTCGTCGAGAGGGTGGTGTAAAACTAATCACGTGATCGTGTGGGTGCAGTACATGAAAGGCTCACCTCCGATGCTTTCCCAGAGAAGGAGCAACGGTTGCCATTATATTATATCGGAACAAAACTTGATCTCATGCTGGTATGAGTGCTGGCACCAGCGGGCTTGCTTTCGTCTTGGTCTTCTCTTGCCTTCAATGAGCTGAAATTCAAGTCCCGCCTCTATCTCTCGTTCCCTCTCACCGCCCCACGAATCTAATTTCGGAAGCCCCTCGACAACCTCCGTCGATCCATCCATCCAGAACCGAGCTGGGAGTGCCTGATCCAGCCTCATCCCTAGCTTGCCACTCCTTTGGTGACTCTTGGACCTTGCTTCTGAGCCTGATCTGTGACGTTTCATGTCCATTTAAGTGATTCGCTGGTTAGTGGATGCCCCAATACACCAAACTATTATCGTCGACATCCCTCATCGCACAATAATCCGCCGGCCCGCACATTGCCAATGACCCCTCGCCTTATCAGCCAGGCAGATGATGTACGGTTTCTAATTGACCATCTCAGCAGTTTGCCTTCCACGGCCCTTTCTCACTTAGCACCTGAAACCCTGTGCCTCGTATCTTCTCCCTCTTGTTTAAGGGAGTACCGCAAGGAACACGATTAAACTTGTACCCGGCACTCGATATAGCCGGTGCAGGTTTCAGCCCGCGCTCTGTCTCGGAACGAGATTCATATCGGAAGCCTGGTTTCACCCGTTAGCTCGGCAACGTGTCGAGAGAGACAGGTTCGGCGTTGGCCGACGGCCTAGACAGGCTGGATCTGAGTCAACTGTCTGAATCAACGCCCTCATCATCCGCGTCGGACTCGTTCGATATGTCGTCGTCGGAAGGTGCACCGGAGTCATGGATCTCCTCGTTCTGCTCCTTGATGGGCCATGAGTTCTTCGCAGAAGTTTCAGAGGATTTCATCGAAGATGACTTCAACCTCACTGGCCTTCAGTCGCAAGTGCCCATGTACAAGGAGGCGCTGGAAATGATCTTGGACGTGGAGCCGGAGGAAGACGACGAGGATGAGGAGGAAGAGGAAGAGGAAGAGGATGAAGATGAGATACTGGGCGATGACAAGCCTCCGGGCTACCGGAGAGCTGGAGAGCGCAGGCATGCACGGGTGGCAAGCGATTTGAGTGTGATTGAGAGTTCTGCCGAGCTATTGTACGGCTTGATTCATCAACGGTACATCACTTCGCGGCCTGGCATTCAACAGATGCTTGAGAAGTACGAGATGCAACATTTCGGTGTTTGTCCCAGAGTGTACTGCAATGGTTGCAGGGTCCTGCCTGTCGGTCGCTCAGATACCCCGGGGCAGGAGACAGTCAAACTGTTCTGTCCCAGCTGCCAGGACCTATACACACCTCCAAACAGTCGCTTCCACTCGGTCGATGGCGCCTTCTTCGGTACTACCTTTGGGTGCCTGTTTTTTATGACTTTCCCCGATTTGGACATCGGATCTCGGATGGACAATTCCCTGTCAGCTCTGTCTCCCACGCGTTCTTCCTCCTTGACATCTTCCTCGATCAACAACCAGGTGTCTCCAGATGTTCCCCCTCCTAACCAGCCCATTGAGATCAACGGCATGCGCACGGTCAATTTCAGCCCCGGTCTCGGCCCGGGCCGCATTTATGAATCACGAATTTATGGATTCCGCGTTTCAGAGAGATCACGGTCAGGCCCGCGCATGAAGTGGCTGCGCATGAAACCGATTGATATCCGTGAGCTGGACGAGATGTCTCGGTACGAAGCGCTACATGGAGAGGCCGACAACGATGGCGATATGGAGATGGGTAGTGGCAACGGCACCGCTGCTCAGAACGCCGCCATCGCCAGACGGAAGAAAGCCCCAATGCGAAGGCGCCGATACAACCCGGATCAGATGAGCATCAACGGCGCAGAAGCTGGCTGAAGTACTCGTGATCATGCTTGGATGAGAACGTCGCACTCTTTCTTTCTTTTTTTTTCTTGGGCTACTTGTGTGAACGCAACCTCCTCATGTCTCCTGGACTCCTTTGCTCTTTTGAAGGATTGAGTTTTTCTCCTGTTTCTCTTTTTGCCTTTTTAAATTCACTTTCCTCATTCGACTTGTCTGTCTACCATCATCTCCTCCCAGCGAGGTTCGAATTGCACCGTAACGGAGTCAAACCGCTGCCGGCAAACACCACCTAGTCCGTTCGCTGCCATGCGTATCGGCCCAAAGCTCATATATCTACACATGTTCAGTAATCTTGTCTCACGTTGCCTTATGCTTCGCTCCTCCTGTTGACCTGCATTCAGGCGTCGTTGAGTCAAGTTATCGTCTTTGGCGTGCAGATTCACGTTCACAAATACAGTACAAATACACCATGCACAAGATTATTTTCGCTGCGGACAATTAGCTTGTTAATTGGATCGTAGTTGCGCAGGAGAAGTGTCTGAATTCCAGGAAAGAAGCAAATTCACCGAGCCCCAGTATTGTCTGGTGTTCCTCTGAACCAGAAGCGAGAGGATACTGCCGGGACCAGCATCACGGGGGCATTCGGACTTTCCGTAACAAGTTACAGCAGGTATGTTAGTACAGTATATTGGGGAATGGGGGGGGGGCGGTTTGCGTTTCGGCGAAGTCCGAGTCCGCTCTAGGCTCAGTCATAGTCGCCTAACAACTAACTAACTAGGTAACTAGTAGTAGTAGCCCTCAGGTGACAACCGCCAATGGCTAATTTACTTCTCGCTCCTTACAGAGTATCCGGCATACCAACCTAGAGGTCCGACAACCCAAGGCAAGACCCAAAAAAAAGGAGAGAGAGATACTGTGGGCAAATCAAATAGGGAGAGAAATAAACAGCACAAGTAGCTTAACCATATATACCATTGGTTACCTAAATCACTCATCTGTATTTTGGGAGGGGTGGAGAGTCGAAACCTGCCTGCTTCTACGGAGGAGTACGGAGTACAGTACACCACTAGAGAGCCACAGATCTGACGAGTGCAGATTTCTATCTATGGCCGTACCTCCTGGCGGAGGGGCCGCTCCGCACGTGGTCCATATATTAAGAACAGGCAACCTTCTGAACAATGCAGTTGGGGGGGGGGGGGGGGCTCGGATACATACATCTGATTGCATCGACCGTAATCTTCAACTATCGGAAGAATTAAAGTGATGATGCGTATGGGGACGATGATATTGTCACCGTTGAAAATCCTCGGTCAGCATTATTTATTCAGGTCCCGATTTGTGATATATTCTCAATTGTAATCGGCGGCATGAGCCTGGTTGTGTGCATGGGGACATCTATCAGTTCTATAATCCTCTTAGGCGTCCAACCGTCCAATCCTATAGGCATCTTCGCGTCTTCATGTGCTTGCCGATATGATGCACGGTCCGCTCACTTACTGTCTACGGCATAGACGGGGTCGGATTTCACCGTTCGTCTGCCCTTGGCTATGACCGACAGACCTTTGGTTGAGCCGCGTCGGTTCTTATTGTTTTCATTTCTTTTCATCTTTTCGTCTTTTATTTCTCCCCCCATTGTTCTGCTTGATTTACTCTGTCTTTCTTCCATTCATCATGCTTGATGGATTTGCACGCGATGCTACTGGGACCTCACATTAGCGTGACCCGATGGCTGCCCGTCTATACGAGCTCCGACCGAGTGAGGGGAGCCCTTTCGAAGGCAGGGATGCGTTCCTGTCCTCTGAATCGCCCAAATTCCATGTAACCCGGTGCCGGGGTGTCTGGGATCGTTGCAACGTTGGAATAATTCGTGACTCAAATCATAGTCTCAGCCGCGACGGGAGAGGGCTATCCTGGTTGGTACCGTTGGGCTGTATCTCCACGGTGTGTTGCACGATACCGCGATGAAAGAGTTACCTCAAAGGGTGCCAGGGGTGTATGGACAAATTGGTCCGGACGAATTCTCACATGTAACCGGCCCTGACTTAGTCCCGAGAGGTTGGATGGGCTTACTTGCTCGCATCTAGCGGACTAAGGCTGCCACTTCTACTGAGGAAGGGGGTGACAAGGCTGCCCTCTGATCGAAAGAATCTTGACCCATAACCCGGGACCTGGAATCAAGGTAAGCTCTATGCTGTAGCCGATGGTGAAAGGGACGAGAAAAGCGATGTTCTCGAGATAGGTGGATATCATAGAAATCATAGAAGTGAAATACGTCGCAATTGTGTTGTCCAACAAGGCCCGGTCTCTGGTATTTTCAGCACTGTCTAGTCTAGAGTCGCGGGGATAGCAATAGTGCGTGTTTCAGAAAGGAGGACATCGTCATAAGCAGAACTTGCCTTGACTGCGACCAAAAATAACCCTTGTGCGATTCGTGGAGTAGCCCGATTTTAAGAGTCGGTGATATGCATTAATTCCGAGTACGATTACCATCTGAAGCGAACGGCCCCGGGCTAAGCCGTGGAATACGACGAGATATCATGGGTTATAGGTCCAGACTGTCTTCAGCTGATACAGACCCGAACAACGATCCAAACTGCACACTTGAGACGAGACCCATGAACTAGCCTGGGTGCAAGTCAGCTAGCATCTGTTGAGGGTGAGGATGCGCAAGAAAGTGATTTGGAATCCCCAAATCTGTCGATGCTAACATAATTTGTACCACGTCTTGCCAGGGTGTGTGGAGGCGCAGCAGCAGCATGCCAGCAGTCGTGTGGCATACGTCACTTAGGCCACTTGAGCAGAGCCTCCTGGCATGGAATGAAAAGCAAGATCAGTCAGTTGTACACATACAGAGCGGTGGTTGGTTTCTTTCTTTCTTTTCTTTTTTTTCTCCTTTTTTCTTTGCTTTTCTTGTCAATTTTTTCTTTCTTTTTTTTTTTTGGTTCCCGTTCAAATCCCACCATTGCCGTTTCGATTTTGCTGGGGAACAAAGGAGAAGGGAGGGGATCATCGGGAGCGGCACGGTTGCCCGGGCTAGATTCTGGCCCAGGCGCTGAGCGGCTACAGTGGTGGAGGTTTGTGGGTTAAGGATCTTTTGGATTCACCACCAAGGCTCCAAAGTCCTTGAGTCTTTGTGATCAAGAGAGAGCCGCCTTGAAGCTTCTCGCTGTCTCCGTATCGATGGAAAGGAACTGGCCAACAGTGATTGGCGGTCGAGTCTAAGTCTTTGAGCTCGATTCAAGAAATCCCTGCAAAGGTTGCATTCCGGTTGGTGAGATATCCAGACCAGGCAAACCACTCGGCCCCAAAAGTGGAAGGCCTTGCGATCACCTTAACCTAATATAAAGTCCTTTTCTGGCTCGCCGCGAGCAGCGAAGACAGAAAGGGAAAGGGGTGGGGGGGGCAACCAATCATGCACGGTTGTTGTGAAATGTTCGGCCCCATTGAGGGTGATTCTCCCAGATGGGTACTGTACCGAGTAAGTGGAGTTGCTGCTGCTGCTTCACGCTCTTCCGACTTGAGTTGAGATGCATGTAACTCAGAGAGCCAATCTGTTGAGGTAGGGTATGTACAAAACAAATGGTGAAAGTGACCCAAGCAAAGAGGAAGCTTGAGTGGAAGAGCCGGAGCTGAGGGCGCGGGCGCCTGCGGGCGACACTCATGGTTTACTCAAAATGGAAGGCACGGGGCGGCCGACCGACGAGCCGCTGATGGCAGGCACGCCTTACCAAACAGGGTAAAGTGCTCAGCGCGGGCTCTAGGCTTTTCGAGGGTCACTGGGTGTACTCCGTAGATACCGAGTAATTCAACAGTCACTATAGATACCTACTACCTACGTCTGTGCCCTAATGCAGTGGGGGGGGCTGAAAAGAAACAATGGAACCTGAAATGGTGCAGACGAGCCAGCCAATCATACATGTGAGCCAAGTAGATATCTGGTGGAAGGGCCCTGGCTTCGAGTTCCACCCAAACCCCACACACCCCCCTCCCTCCCACCCCCCACCCTCGAGCTGTGGTCCACGGTACGTACCTAGTTACTTCATTTACTTACCTTACTAGGGTATACTAATCATATATAGGTACATTAGGCCTGGGAGTTGAGTCAACGCATAGGCAATACGTATATACGTGTGTACACTAGCCTGATTGCATCTGCGCGCACTAGCTGGCTATGGTAGATTAATTAGCTACTCCACCGGTCCGGCCCAAAGATTCGATTAGAGAAAACTACCTCACACAGTCTCTTTGTTCTTTCGCGCTCAGATTCGGACTTAACCCCTTGGAAAGATGCTCCCTAATTGAAGTAAACTGAATTGATCTGTATCATTATTTGCGCTCAGCCTCAATAGTCCAATCTCGCCAATAAACCCCTAAAGGGCCGTCTGGTGACAAGAACGCCGCTAACCCCATGCCTCTATCTGCGTCCAAGATCCATAACAAAAGAGACACTCTTTGACTGATCCCTCGAAGCCTAGTCGAGCATTCACCCCTTGGAGAATGTGGATTGAACTCTCCGTCTTTCGGATAAAACACACACAAAAGACAAATCAACGAGAACTATTCTAAGCAATCAATCAAGCAGGCTCTGGAAGGAGGGGCCTGGGGACACCATATATTTGAAAACAGAAGTTGTAGAGCCGCCTGAAGCCCGAATACCAATAATGCATCATTGCAGTCGTTATAGTTTGTAAACATGAGAAATGGAAGGCAAGAGGATATAAAGAAAGCCCAGCAGGGGAAAGACTTTATAGTCGCACAGTCATAGGAAAGGATACATGTGGGGAGAGCACGGACCCGACTCGGGTGTGAGGGGCCCTGTCCCCAGCGAAGGCTCTGCTGGGGTCGACGGTGAGGAGTGACCATCGCTATGGGCTGAAGACAAGGGTGGCATCTGAGAGACAGAATTAGCACCATTAACCCTGGAGCTCCAGTACCGACATGTGTCGTGTAGAGAGAGGGGTATGTACAGGGATATTGGTCTCAGGTAGGTGTTGTGGTGTTGGACAGAGATCAATGCCCGCCATGGAGGCATAACTCATACTGAACGGACTAACAATCTCATCGTCGGCATACGAATGAGGCTTTTTCGATGGTCCAGTGGCTGAGATGGCGACGGGAAGGATCGAAGGCAGGTGAGTATTGTATTCGTTGTGGTAGGGCAGATCATGGTAGCTGCTTCCAATCGAGTGATATGACGGCGGTTGACCGTAGCTCGAGTGACCATACGGGTCCAAATGCGAGTAGGATGGGTATGAAAATACTGGGGGTGGTGATGCCGAAAGCTGACGGGTACATTGGTGAGAAAACATTGACCCTCGATCATCCGAAGTGGAGTAACCGTCGTAGGACGAGCCTCGCTCACTGGGCGAGTGGCTTGTGGTGTTCTGACTGGATTTGGACGCCCGACTCTGTCGGCTACGACCTGACTTGGCCGTAGGTACCGCCTTCGGTGGTTCTGATCGCTCGAGAGTTCTTTCAGGCGACGTCGAGGCTGTCGCCGCTCTCTTCTCTAGATCTTCCAAGCGGCGCTTTAACTTCTTGCCTACAGACAAACGAGGTTGATTAGTCATTATTTCCCCAGCTCGCCAAGATCAGGAACTTACGATAGTTTCTCTGCGCGATTCGATTCTGTATCCGGCGCCTCTCCGCAAGATCGGAGATCTTGGTCCAATCTTCATTAGGGTTGGCATTGGGACTGAAGGCGCTGCTGGAAGCATGATTCGATGAACTTCTCGAGCTGGAGGATTGAGGATAGGAGTAGTTGGAGGAACGATGCATGCTGGGCATTGGGAAGAGAGATGTATAAAGCTACCGGTACGCCAGGCGCAAAGTATGTGGTGGTGTTGCTCTCAATGGCAACTGAAGGGAGAGAGAGGATATAAGGTCAACTATATAGTCGCGTACTGTCGCGCAGGTAATAGCAATGAGCCTTAGAAGTTTCACAGCCTTTGCTTTCGGGAATCATGAGAGATGTGCAGGAGGCAATCAGTATTTAAAACAAAATAAAGCCATGGGTCGATCAGCTGGCGAACAGGTCTGTAGCTTATGCCTGCTAAGCCCCGGGTCCGAATGAAAGTAGTCCGTCAGTGACGGTTCGATTGAACCGTTGCGATAACCGTGTTAGTCCGTGCTCCTAAGACTATTATCCTTTTATTTTTATTTTAATTTCATTGTATTTTGGTTCCCTTTTTTTCTCCCTCTTTTTTTTTTTTTTTTCTCTTTTGCTTTTCCCATTTTAGAACAAGAGAATGGGGAAGGAGGGATTTTCTGGATCGGTCTTATTTGATTATCTTTTAAATCTATCTTGTATTTATTTGGTTTTTATACTTTCTCCATTAGACCTATTACCCGTGGAAGACGGGGGGAAGAGGGGGGAAGGTGACTGGGGGGGAGACGAAGGGGGAGGGGGGGAATGAATGCATGGCTCGACCATGTGTTGGTAAGGAACCTTACCCGAATGGATGCACCGATGTGCAGGGCTGGGCTGCGTCACTAATGGCTGGCGTGGGTTAGCGGCAATCCTACTCGTAGACCATGAGGCTGTTTTAGCGGACCCCCGATGGCCGACACCACCGGAATGGAGGGAGACTGGGAGAAGGCTCAAGGAGAGAGAGAGAGAGCGAGAGACGGGCAGAGAGAGTTACAGGCATGTTATCAGGCTGTGCTAGACTGACACCAACTTCGGGTTTGTCCACCAATCTCACCCATGTGGTTCCATACTGCACATACCGATCAGTTACGAGGTGGATCATCATCAGTAACCACGAGACGGTCTTCCCCGTACTTAGTGCAATCGGCCGCAGCATTCCTTCGGAGGAGGAAATTGGAATGACCCCGATGCCTGGTCGATCTCGGTCCGCAGTCTGCCTTCGTTTGTTTTCTATGTACAGTACAAACTGTACGAGGTACGGTACTGTACACAGTACTGTAAATGTGACATGAGGTTTCAGGAACCTTGCCTCAGCTTGACTTCAAATGACAGTGGCCTGTCGCAGTTCCTCTGAAAGGACATGAATGATCTAATCTCCAGTTTTTGAGAGAGCCGTTTATCGTACAGTATCCAAAGGACTATAAGACTGAAAAGAAGAAAGAAAAAGCTGTTCTAGCGAGCATTGTCCAAAGAGGTACAGTACCTCTGCGTTTGACTCGGACCAACCGAGTTCCTTGGAGCAGAAGCCCAACTGTTGCACAGCCAAGCGCTAGGTTACCTTGGATGTCAATCCTCGCACATTTACGTCTGTGGGGAAGCTTCGCATCGAGGGCTGTACATGTACAAGCATACCTACCGCATACTAAGTACAGCTCATCCAGGGGCATGAGACGGACTACCTTGTGGATTTATAAAGAAACCACTTCAACTCCCGAAAGGGGTCTGTCTGAGCGCCCTTGGAAAGCAGTACGATGGCATGCATACCAATTAAATTCGGGGTCAGTAGAGAAATGGCCCCAATGTAGACCGATCCCCTTAGCTATGAAACAGGTACTAGGGAGATGAGTACAGTACAGTAGGTCGGCCACAGTTCGCGTGCATGGATTGACTTCAAGGTTGACATTTGACAGTGCAAGATCTGGACCCAAGGAGGGGGCTGAAAAATTGCAACTTTGGTACGGAGTATTAATGATTTGATCGGGTCCCACCCCATGTATTACTAGTATGTATCGTCAGTAAGTTTACACTCAGATATGGTGTCTACTTCCGCAGCACGGTATCTCGCCAGGCCTGTTCCTCATCAGGACGTGTCAGTGATATCTGTTACTCTGGCAAGAATACTAGCTTTGGAATCTTCTAATGAAACCAAACTTCACTTTTGCGGAACAAACGAAGAAGTTTTTCTTTCGCTCTCTGACCTCAATTGCCGTAAGGGACTCTATATATCGAATGGCTACCGAATTCATATAACCCGAACACATGGCTGTTTGTTTCGCTGAACAGAGATTTCGCCGTTCTAATTCAGCTTAAAACCCTGCTCCACGCACAAGATTCTTTGTTGATTCCAGGTATGTTCCAGGTTCAGCAGTCTTGTTTCGCCTGCCGCACTGAGATCTCTCTGGCACTAATGTCAGAAGCAAACACTTATCAAATTCGTCTACGTGCTGTAGTCACAGGCTCGTTAGTTAGCATTTAGTGCTCCAATGTATAGTGATCAGGAGCATCATAGCCTCCTTGCCTTGCAAATGGCTTCCCGCCATGCATGATGCACAAGAGGGATGAGCCCCAAGCCCCAAGCCCAATCGCGACAGGGCCCCGCGTTTTCCAGAACAGGGCGCCAAGTTGGTCACGACCTATTAGGTGCTACAAGGCCCCGGGGGACTTCTCAGCTGCCAGACTCAGGGTTATTACTCCTTCTAGTGACTGCCAGCATAGTGCCTGTCTGTCGAGCGCAGGCCGGAGCCAACTGCAACAGGATATGAACACGAGCCTTGAGTGCACGGCCTTGACTTCGACCACGTTGCACCCCTTGATCTTGGCAGTACACTAAGGATAAAGATCTCACCGGCCCCGAACGCCTGGTCTAGATAAAGAGGCGCGCTGTGTGGAATATGATGCTCCCTTGCTTCCTCCATCAGCTTCATTCGGTCGCGATCATTGACCCTTGAAGAGGGCAGCCAGTCATCCTCGAATGTATGTCAGTTGAGCCATGGGATTTCCCCATTGCAGAATCTCATGGCTGTTGTCTAGGGGCATATCTCAGCGTAAAAGCACAGCCCACTTCGTTTCTAAGTGAGTTTCCCCCTTCCACCCCCTCCCGGGCCTAGTTTGCTGTCTCGCAGCTAGAAACGGCCCCCGTTCTCCTTACCGGATTAGGGCTTTCCATTTCCCATCCTTTGATGTAGGTGTACTGCCATCATCCTATATATGGTACGGTACCACCGCATGCTTTAACACTTGGTTCCAACTTGCCTTTGTACTCTGGCTATAGTAAGCCAAACACTTCAAGGGCCTCTTCAGGGGCGTTTACGTAGCGATTGCGCTCTGTAAAAGCTTGACAGATATGCTTTGAGAGGGAAGTACCTAAGCTAAAGGTCGTTACTTTATTCAATTAGCCTGGCCACAGCAGTACAGGGTCCTGCCCAATGTAGATAGCGCCTACGTTCTTTTTACTGGGCCTCCTACTTGTCATGCCGGGGACGAGGCCCTGGAGGGGGGGGGGAGGGGGCAAGTGAGGGGAAGAACATCCCCTCACGTTCAACGGGACCAATAATCTCGCACCATTGTCTAGAATCATTTTCAGCCCCAAATGGCACTTAGCGAGCCAACAATTCATCATTTACTCTCAGTGGGCGGGCCTCATGGCCCTCAGTTGCTCATACTGATCATGCTATGGTACACTTGCGGCTCAATCACTTGCAGGCTTACACCCAGCTTGAAACGGGATTGCGCGAGCCTTGGGCCAGGTTAATCACAGCCCACCAGATTTCGACAAGTGTGTAGGGCTGAAGAGGCTAAGGATCATCTGCGGAGTGACTGTTCAGTTACAGGATTGCGGGCCTGACTCAAAACCCGTGGCCAATGCTCCGGTGATGTTGCTTGAGTTTCTATGCTGGCCGTAGCCTATACATAGTACACACAGTACAGCACACTGTATAATTGAGCATTGGTAGATCATATGTGAAGAATTCAACTCTTATTTCCCTCCTATAGAAATAAGGTCCCTGTTACACCTCCTCTGCCTTCGGACCATGCAACGCCTTCTCGTATAAGTGTGCCCGTCTTCTTGCTCAGTGTGCACCGTGGGCTTCCTGAAATAGGTTCAGCTGCGCTAGATCCGGCCAAACGCAGCAATCATTGGCTGCAGGCAAAGCTCGTATATTCACACAGTACTGTAGCACTACCAAACCACGAAGATGGGTCGATGCATGGGTAAATAGGACTACTGTAATCTCTGCATGCCATGGCGTGCCTTGCGACTGGACGGATTTCCTTTTCTACTAGAACCTGAAAAAGCAGGAAGGACTTCCACGGACAGCTCTTGGCGGGTGCTACATCGAAGCTTCAGGTATTTCTAGAAGACATCCAGAGTAATGTGAGACTGTGTTGCTCTGCTGCACTGCATCTGACCGCATCGGCTGGTGCGGTAGCCAAGTCGAATTAAATATTTATAGCCGAATCGGACTGACTTAGTGCAGCAGTCTTCAGGCTTTATCCAGTCCTAGGCTCTTCTAATGCATAGGCACACATACACACTATAGCGCCCCATAAAGCCAAACCTCGTCAAACCAGTTTGTACAGTACATACAATACTTTGCAGCCATATAGACAAGCCTGAAACAAGACCGAGGAGCGTTAACACCCGAGTGCAGTTTCTTCCTCATAGACTTTAGTACTGCAATGTACAGGCAAGGTTTGTTAGTTATTGCTCGAAGGGATGAACAAGTCATAATGAGTCATCCGTAGCACTTGACAATATTGTCTGGCTAAAAAGCTAGGAGAAAGACCAAGAGCAAGACCCCCGCAAGACCGGGAAGAAGAATGCAAAGACAAAACACCCCAGTCGAATGATGTACTGTTCGGGAACTCCACGTGCAGTATGGTGCCTAGCCATGAGTCCATGTGATGGCGCCATTCTTATCGGACCTCCACCTACCATGATTTGCGGCGGGTGAAGATTGGCTCTGGGATCTCTATCTCTATCCCATTGAGATAACAGTGCCTGTGGATTTCTATCTAACATCTCGGGTGACCTTCACGGACCCGACGATCGTTTTAGTCATTCCATGCCATGACTTCACTCGGTGTTTTCCAAATTCTAGACCGTGGTAGTCACTAGTTACCTGCGAAGGGATCTCTCAACCAGAGGTCGGCACATATGCCGTGGAGATATTTGGTTTGATCGAGTTGCTTACCAAGGTAGGAAAGTGATGTACGGCCACTAAGTTACTGTTTCCGGCCCCAATATGACAAGTTGGGGTGTTTGTACTGTACCGCTGAACTACAGTTATTGTACGGTGGGAGGAAATTGACTTCCCACCTCATCAGCCTGCCCGGACCTCCGCCCCATTGTCCAAGTTAGTTAACCATTACTAGTTCCAGGTTCAAGCAATAGCAGCAGAAAATGGCCCCCATGATTAGAAATCCCGACCACATTCCAATTGGAACATTCAGTTTACTTGGGTACTGTACATTCTTACGCTCGACCATGTGGCAATGCTTGCGGATCAGTGCCCCCAAACAACTGCTTTTAGTAAATGCCACAACTCATGCGCTAGCGGAATTGATTGGTGCCATGCATTCGCTGAGCCTGCCGACCAGTTCCGTCTAGATTGAATATACGAATCCATCGCCGCGGACTAAAGCAAACGAGCCCCCACAGCAAAGACGGCCACTAGTCCGCACCTGCGTGGTCCTAGAATCCCTGTCTAGGGAAGTGGTGCCTCAATGTTACCACATGTCAATAGGCCCATAGGCCCGAAACGTGCGCAACCAATTTGCGTCGCATGAATTCCGCAGTCGGAATGACTTGACTCGCTGATTGGGCCCATAACCTGCCCCCTAAACCATGCTGCACAAGCCAACGGGCAATCGCCAGTAGACCCGGAATAAAGGTCTCTCTCCTACTCTGACTTATCTTGAAGAAGAATGAGTTAGGATCGACGGCATCTATCAGGGTATGGCATCGATGGGTAAGCACTCTTGTAAATGGGCCACCACAGGAGAGCCCCGGAAAAAGCCACCGGCAGTGGGGAGAAACGTTTAGTTGACAGAAACGAGCTACTATGGGGTTCCGGCGGATCAGTATGGGTATTATGGGATGATAAGTTAGCGCTCGAAAAGGCCCACGACACCCACAGTGATTATCACCAACGCGTCTAGTCACTCGACTCGTGGGCGACTAATGCAGAAGCTAGAGCCTCAACAAAGTGCATTGCCTTGGTGGGTATATTTTTCTTAGAATCATGCCTAACTAGGGTTTCAGGGCAGCTGACTAGCGGGTGACCTGCAATCTTAGCGTGATTGTTGTTGTCGGAGGCCTTCAGACAAGGGCCTAATTGATTGATTAATAATGATCTATGAATCATCACCAATTGTCGGTCTCGGCCTGACCGAGAGACCGATGGTCTAGGTGATACAGGTATCACTTAGTATCGTGTTCCATCTAAGTGTGCTACAATACTCAATCTTCCAAGTCCACTCGGTACCATGGTAGCACAGTTATGACTCAAACAAATGGAAATAGATTTGAACAATAATCACTAAGGCTCAGACTCTTGAACCGCACATGCATCATTAGCTTGTGACTGTGCGGAGTATTACATCGCCTTTGTGAAGGAGATGATGCTAATCAGAAACGGTAGTCTTTGAAGACGTCCACTGATGCTGTTCCGATTTTTGTTGTATAAGATACAGTGTATACTGTACAGTACATTACTAGATTGTTATATGACAGCACGGTACAAGAGGTACAGTAGATCTAAGCTCGAACTCCGATCGTCGTATAGAACAGTCGCAAAGACTGGCAGCAAGTCAGTAATTTGTTGATCAATAGTTACTCCGTACCCTCGAGCAGTACGTAGTCATCTTCCTCCTTCATTCTTCTCCTCATTCCGCCGCTGGCGTAAGGCCACCCGTGGTGGCTTCTTTATAAGAAGCTTCATCTATGATTTCAGTCGTCATCAACCAATAATTCAGCCGGTTGTTTTGGCATGGAGTACGTTCAGAAAGTATGGTTGTATCGCGCGCTTGCCCCTCCCGCACCTTTCCTTTTCATCTGGTTTTTAGTTATTACTTTTCTTTTGTTCAATTTCTCCCCCTTTCTACTCCAAAAGAAATGGTCTCGGCAGGACGGCTGTTCTAAAGGCCGATAGCGTATCTACCCACGGCGGAGTATCTACCGACTCATCCGAACCACTGGGCATGCCCCCAAACGATCCAAGTCAGAACCGAGCTGAAGTTGGAGAAGTGGAGCCATGCCAATGGCAGGACCCGGGGGGGGGCCGGGCAGCGGGCGGTGTCAAGCGGGATGTGAGGTGGACAAAAAGAGTTGCGGCTCCTCGTCCCCTCCATATCCGTACAATCAGAAAACAAGCACCGGGCATGGGTTAGTTTCATCTTCACCCATGACATGGCTCATGCAAGCAGAGGCAGACTGCAACACAGCCTTGCCTAGCTTTCTAGGGTGATTCAGGATCAATTAGTATTGCTGTTGGTTGAATACTAGTTTGTTTACCGTGGATTACAGCATGGCCTACAAGAGCTGAGACACTGGAGGCCAACTAGTGAAATCACTGCCCGCGGAACGGATCCTGCCGGCACGTTGTTACCTGGTAATCCTGTCTAGGTGCTGACTTTTGATGGAGTCAACTGTCTAGTTTATCTAGGCACTAGGCTTCCATATGATATGACGAGTCTAGTCGAGAGCTATAAAGAAACCAGTCCAGAAACAGTGATCTTTCTGAAGCGTAGATGGTATCTTAGAATTGTATTCGATTGTTTATACGGTGCATACCAAGGCACAAGGTACTACGTATACGCATACGTATAGTACAGTACTGTAACTCCTGGCTATACTACTTGCCAGGTGCTGGGAATTAATGGTTGCCTGGTGGGGCTCAAGATTTTAGCGTGCTGATTGGCTTGCTCGCATAAACATGAGCTCCAGGCTCGGAACCTTTGAAAGATGGTTAAGGCGTTGGGTTGGAAGTTGGAACTTAGTTGGGGATGATTATTATTATTATTATAAATCACTTACGAGCCTGACTAGTTACAGTAACTAACTAACAGACTGATTACTAGCCAGATCTGGACAGCGACCTTCCGAGCCTCGAGGTCTGAACTGTGAAAGAAAGGGTTCAAAGTGGATAGCGAGCGGCTCGGTGGGGTTGATTATGAGCTGTGCGTATTACAAATCCTACGGAGTACGTAGTCTGTCAGTCAATGAATGAGTTTACTTACCTAGTTGATGGCACGCTAGCATGGGCTAGATCGATTCATCGGTGATGGATCTTCGGGATCTTCGGTAAAAACAACAAAACTACGTGGTTTGTTTGCTCCAAGAATGCTACAGAAGATTGGAACCTTCGCATATCGCTCTGAATCTCAGTCGGTTGGCGACGAGTCGACAAGCGTACTGTGCAAACAGTTCTCAGCCCGCTCAAGGTAAGTTCGCACTGTGATGTAGAGAGTCTCCATTTATAACTTAGCCTGCAAGTTAGCCGATGGACGGCTTTCGATAAGGTGACATTCCATGCTACTGCCCTCGTTATATGCTGGCCTCGAACATCCAGTGGTGGGTCGATGGAATGACAATGTGGGCCTTATTCAATGTCCTGAGACCTAGCGTCACCGATCGGCTTTCTCTCAATGTCTGTTTGCCTAGACTTGAACATGATAGCTCGGTGGCGATGCTTGCCGTGCATTTGGCCCCGGAACGGTGTCTTGGACGAGTTGGTATACAGTAAAATCTCCGTCTGAACCAGAATCAAAGTCTCAGGAGCACTGAAAAGATGAGTTTAAACTGCTCTAGCCTCAGGTAACGCTCAGAGATCAACCATGAACATATTGTTATTTGTGTTTTCGGTCCATCAAAACCACCATGAGCCATACAACGCCCCTTGATCTTGAATCAAACATTTTGATTCGTCTATGGGAGACGACATAAACCACGCGCGCGCGCACACACGCACCCACACATGCAATGATTGTTTAGAACACATCAATTCCTATCCTTAAATCAGACTCTATAGGACGTAGCTGTGATAATCGTTAGCACTCTTGCAAAAGCCGTGTTCAGGTCGGTAGAAGAATTCTCACCTCCACGGATGCTCCTCGTCACCATACTGAATACCCTCGATCCAGTTCTTCATTTGCAAGGCGATTTCCCCAGCCTCTTCATTTTCCTTCAGACCGCAGTCGACCAGCTGACCCTTGTAGCTAATCTTTCGTACGGGGCTCACAATGGCCGCGGTTCCGGCTCCGAAGACCTCAATTAGTCTTCCCTCCTGAGCTGCTTCAGCAAGCTCAGTCATCCTGACTTTGCGCTCTGCGACAGCCCATCCCTTTGGCACCAGTCTTTCCCTTGCCAGAGCCAACACCGAATCTCTAGTGACACCTTCAAGGATTGTCCCGTCTAATGGTGCAGTCACCAGCTCCTTCTGACCAGTTTCCTTGTTCTTCATTGCGACGAAGAGATTCATCGTGCCAACTTCAGTGATATACTCCTCCTCTCCGAAAAGCCACAGGTTCTGCTGGAAACCCCGGGAGGCAGCTTCGAGTTGAGGCAGAACACAAGGTGCGTAATTCGCACCTAGCTTCTTGTCTCCCACGCCACCGGGCCAAGCGCGGACTGCATAGTCGGTGGCCTCAAGAGAGATAGCCTTGAAGCCAGTGGGGTAGTAAGGGCCAACAGGGCTTGCGATCACGAATAGAAGGGCGGAACCTGGGGGTCCGACACCAAGAGTCTTTTGAGTGCCAATCATCGTGGGACGCAGGTATAACGAGTATCCTCGAGCACTACAAGAGCAGGGGTTAGCCATGACTGAAAGCTGCCGGAAGAAGAATTGCAATTGCACATACTCCGGGATGAATCTGCTGTCCAGCTTCACGAATTCTCCAATCAGTTTGGTCAGAGCCTCGCCGTCGAAGGTGGGCAACGCAATTCTGGAAGACGACTTGTTCAAACGTGCCATATTCTTGTTCGGGCGGAACAGCCGGATTTGGCCTTTGTTGTCCTTGTATGCCTTCATACCTTCGAAGCACTCGAATGCATAGTGAAGCACACAGGCTGAGGGGTCGAGGCTCAGGTTCTGGTACGGAACGATCTGGGGGGTGTGCCAGCCATCAGCCGCTGTCCATTCAATCGAAAGCATATGGTCTAAGGGCGTGAGAGCGTTAGCGAAAATCGAAGACGAACCGTGTCAGGTCATTGCCAATGCCGAATGTCCATACCAGTGAAGGTCTTTCCGAAGACAAGGTCCTTGGCGGCCGTCAACTCTTTGGGCGTGCTCGTCTTGGTAACTGTAAGCTTGGAAGGATCAAGACCAGCTAAGCTGGAAGCAGCAGTTGGTGTTGCGCTGAAGCATCTCTTCCATAATTGACTCAGTGCGGAGTTTTGGGTGGCGCCAGGGGCAACGAAGCTCTGTAGTAACGCCCGACGGCGGGCAACCTGGAAAGATCGCATCGTGACGTGATTCGCAAACAATGTGAAGATAATGAAGTAGAGAGCACTCAGTCAACCCTGTGCTGCACTATCACCAAAGACTGTTGAGGTTAATTTGGGGGTTGGCGGTTGCGGAGCTTTAAAAAGGCGGAGAAAAGCACTTGATGACTCTTTTTCAACGGACCCGGGGCACAACTCCGGAAGATCCACAGATAAAGGACTAATTAGTATCTGAAGATGGCTTATGCCCAGACCACAGATTGGAACGCAAGGCCGCAATTTCTAAGTCGAGTTTGCTCCAATTGTGCTATCACAGATCACAGCTGGGTCTAAAGCTCTGTGACTTGTTCGCCCTTGGATGAATTGACTATCGCGCTGTCATTGGAGGCGATCTTCCGACGTCGGCGTCGAGCGGCACAGATACCCGGCAATAATCGATCTAGGAAGGCGGTCAGCTCGGAGAGCTCCAGTTGTTTTTGCCTGGGCCCCGGGCCCAGTCCAACCACTAAACTTAGGCCTCTGGTGCGTGCACGTGACAGAGCCTCGGGCGGCCAGCTGCCCGCCCGAACACTGAATGATAACTAACTTATCCATGTGGAATACCATTCATGACATGAATAGAGAAAGGTGAAGCGGAGAAAGAGATTGGAAAATTTGGAAGCAACAATACGGCGACCTGGACTCTACCCTTGAACTGAGGAGACCTCTTCAACCTCAGTTCACGAATATTCTGTTCCTGTCCATATACTTCCCCCCTTTCCCGATTCATTGCTGCGTCATCACTTTATTCCTCTTCCAGACTTGTGATATCTCAATTCCCCCGAATATACGCCCTCCCGCATAAGTTTCGCATTGGATGCAGTGGAACTAGTCAATAGTGTTTTGGCCTCTCGCAAACGGTCATATATCTGGGTTGATATAGGCGAAAATGTTCTCATCGGCGCTCAAATCTCTGAGCTCTAACATAACATCAAACTATCAGGTCTCTCCCCACCCAACCGTGGTGTCAGGACCCTGGAAGATCTATGACGGCAAGAAGAAGTCCACAGGCACAGCAGCTTCGATCTTTATCTTCGATAAGAAGGTTCTCGAGACCCGTTCAAGCGGGCTGGGCAATCGCTCCAGTGGTTCCACTAAGAAGTTGCAGGAAGATGTTGTTGACCGACTGAAGCGAGAAGCCGGCACTCTTGCACGGCTTCGACATCCCTCTGTTCTTCAGGTTCTAGAACCTCTTGAAGAAACGCGTGGCGGTGGACTTATGTTTGCCACTGAACAGGTTACTGCCTCTCTTGCTGGACTTCTGCAGGCCAAAGATGCTCAAGAGAGCTCTGCTAGGGCCGCATCTGATGCCCGTCGCGGAGGGTCTAGCCGTTACATGGTGGAGGATCCTGACGGAACGCGGAGGCGACGAGATCTTGATCTTGATGAGTTAGAAATCCAGAAAGGTCTGTTGCAAGTGGCAAAGGGCCTCGAGTTTCTGCACGAATCGGCAGGGCTTGTTCATGGAAATCTTAATCCTGAAGCTGTCTTCATCAATGCTAAATCAGACTGGAAAATTTCTGGGCTGGGGTTTGCTGGCCCTCCAACTGCATCGGACTCACGATCGACGCTTCCACCGCTTGCCTTGTCAGAAGTACTCTATCAAGATCCCCGCTTACCGGCGTCAGTCCAGTTGAACATGGACTATACCTCTCCGGACTTTGTGTTGGACTCAAATGTTACCCCCGCCGCCGACCTTTTCTCACTTGGTCTAGTGATTGTGGCGCTCTATAACTCACCCCATGTATCTCCATTGCAGACACACTCAAATGTGAACACATACAAGAAGCTTCTTAGCTCTTCATCCACCACCCCTTCCCAAGGCAACAACTTCTTGTCTTCGGGCACAATCCCAAGAGACATCCTCGCTCATGTATTACCCAGATTGATAACTCGAAGGCCAGCCCAGCGACTAAATGCTCGGGAATTCCAGCAATCCCCCTATTTCGACAATATTCTGGTTTCAACAATTCGTTTCCTGGAGTCTCTACCAGCAAAGAACCCGAATGAGAAGTCGCAATTCATGCGCGGCTTGCAACGAGTATTACCCGAGTTCCCGGTCTCTGTATTGGAAAGAAAAGTTCTGGGAGCTTTGCTAGATGAGATGAAGGATCGTGAGCTTCTTCCTCTTGTCTTAGGTAATGTTTTTGCCATCCTTCAACGCATCCCCAGTGCGCGGCGCATATTCCCCGACAGGGTAATACCTCAGTTGAAAGAGACGTTTCCGGCTGGTAAGGGGGCTCACCAGGATCGTGACTCCAAGAAGGATGCTGGGTTAATGGTGGTTCTGGAAAATATGAATATTGTTGCTAAGAACTGCTCCGGGAAGGAGTTTAAGGAAGGTCAGTTATCCGTCAATGTTTTCAATGACTATGTGACAAGACCGGATTCTAATTTGAGCAGATATCCTGCCCTTGATCCGCCTGGGACTTGATTCACCGACACACTCGTTGGTAGATGGTGCAATCAAATGTCTCCCAGTCATTCTACCCGTTCTCGACTTTAGCACTGTCAAGAATGAGGTCTTTCCGCCGATCGCTGCAACCTTCAGTCGCACAAATAGCCTTGCCATAAAAGTGCGCTGCTTGGAGGCGTTCGCTGTTCTCTGTGGCGGCACTGTGAACTCTGAAGAAGCTCTAGGAGATGACTTCACAGGTGTTGGCCCAGAGAGCGTACCGCAGTCGAATAAGTCATCGATTCTGGACAAGTACACAATACAAGAGAAACTTGTCCCATCACTGAAGGCCATCAAAACAAAAGAGCCAGCTGTCATGATGGCGGCACTGAATGTGTTCCGACAAGTCGGAACAGTGGCAGATACTGAGTTCCTTGCCTTGGAACTTCTCCCAGTCTTATGGAGCTTCAGCCTCGGACCTCTCCTCGATCTTCGCCAATTCGGCAGTTTCATGCGCTTGATCAAGGATCTTTCCTCTAAAATCGAACGTGAACAGACAAAGAAGCTGCAGGAACTTTCATCGGCAGGCGATAGCACCAAGTTTCAGAATAGTGCCGTGGGATATCCCAAATCCGCAGGTGACTTGAATCAAACTGGCGCGGATGCACGAGACACCTTTGAGCGTCTGGTCCTAGGACGAAACCCTGACAGCCTTGATAGCCAAGATACCGATCTATGGAGCACCGCCTCTGCAGAGCCCTCAACGAGACGACCTCCCATTCCAAGCACTTCATCCACCGGGACATCTTGGTCGCCAAACGTTGCTAGCCCTGTTTCCAAAGGAGGCATGCTACCAACGCTGTCGAATCTCAGCATGCGGTCGGTCACACCTGATTACAACTTAAGCTCCTTTCCCTCCTTGCAACCTGCTGCTAGAACCAGCTCGCCCTCGACTCCAGCAGTTCCTACGCTGCCCACTTCTCCTCCCGCCCTTCAATCGTGGTCCTCACCGATTTCCTCAAACCCCCAACAGCCTCTTCCGGGGTCGAGGGCTTCGAGCAATGGCTTAGGATCGTTGTCCGGTCTCAGAGTCAATAATGGCATATCTGGACAAGGGTCGCAATCTGCTCCCAACTATGCTGCGTTCTCAATTCCTCCCCCGCCAGCCGGCCTGGGCCAAGTCGGCTCCCTGACGAACCCCACTGGCGCGTCGAATCCCGTGCGATCCCCTTTCGGTGGCAATATCACGCCTACTGCTTTCCCCAGCAATGCTTCAGTTCCACCGCATGGAATGCAAAAACAAGGCCTTGACAAGTATGAGAGTTTGCTATGAGGTGTATGGCCTGTGCTGTTGCGTGAATGCCGTTTGTCTTCTTCCAACCTTTATTGTTCGATATTTTACCGAGTCTACTCAATGTGTGTTTGCAAGCACCGCAAATGCATGCAGGTTGCCCACATACCACTGCCCGATTATAACTGTAACGTACGACTTTGACTGGCAGCGAAGAAAAAGAATGTGGCCTCTGGTTGTTCTGTATATGACTTACGAGGTATGGGAATGGCTGATCCAAAAGATTGCTGTCCAGTACATATCACATTTTTCTCGGATGATTTGCACTCATAGAATTGGCTGGCCCAGGTTTAGTGAGGTATCTCACGATTATGTATGAGTATATTCAATAGAGATATATCTAAGCAGTACCTAGTACTTTACGTAGTTACGTAGTCTAGTACGCTTACCGAACAGAGTGGACCTTTCAAAGAGATTAGCCCAAAGCTCCACTTCTGCCAAGCACCCTCAAATCGTAGAAAGCTTAGACTTGCAAGCTGAGGTGACTGGATTTCTCCATACTCGGTAAGTTACTCAGTACTATAGCAGCTGCGACTGGGCAGGAAGAAAGCTCAGACACCCTAGGTAACGTAAGTCTTCGAATGCACTCTCTTCGAGGCGCCTGGAGGCGCTTTCCGTCGGCCCACCGCCACCCCTCCTGCTTCCGATTACCGCACTTACCCCTCAATCCTTACCACCCCATCCGGTGGTCCTCTTCGTCCCGGCCCAGCAATCTGTCCTCTACAATTCCCCTTGATACTGCAGAAACCTCAGTAACAACAACGGCGACAACAACAACAACAACAACACCGCCCATCGACATGGATGACAAAGTGAAGCAACATTATCTAGCTGACTCGCCTCCCTCGGTAGTCCGCTTAGAAATAAAGACGCATTTCGATAATCTAAAGGATGCAAAGCTGCGTAAATATGCGCATTATATGAGCCGGTTCGGTGTCAACTCTCTAACTGAGCGGTCACGTCTCGGGGAAGCTAACATGAGCAACTTCTCTCTAGCGCCGCTTTTGCAGGAACTCGAATCACACTTCGGCAGGTTTCTCCAGAGTCAGAACCCATCTATGACCTCATCGTTGAACTCCATCGGACCTGCAATGGAGACTGGAATGATCTTGCTCGGAGAACCAATGTCAGCGATGAGCATCTTCGCTACTTCCTGGAATATGCCGCGCAGTTTCTCGGCAACTGTGGCAACTATAAGGGCTTTGGCGACTCTAAGTTTATCCCCCGTTTGCCCGTTGAGGCCTTTCAAGCTTTAGCTTCTGCCTCCCCCAAGACAAAAGAGGCCTTCAGTTGGGCCAACAGCACAGGAGGTGGCATCTATGAGACAGATGTACAATCGCGTATGCACTTGGGTTACGTAGAGGGAAATCATATGACTACGTATTATCCTGATTCGCCGTCAATCACCAAAGAAGAAATCACAGCCGTCGGTGACTTTTTGGAGCAGAAAGGGTTGCCGTTGGAGAATACGCGACTGAAGAAAACAGAGACTGGGGACTTCGAACTTCTAATCGCTTCCGGTGTTTCCTCACCCCCGGCACGGGACCGAGATTTGGGCGATGTCGATAGCTTCGATCTCGATGGCAAGTTGAATGGCCACAAGCTTCGCCTCGTCTTTGGCGATCATCGAGAGGAGATGGCCAAGGTCGCGCACAGTACCAAGCAGGCTTCTCTGCATGCTGCCAACGACAATCAGAAGCGGATGCTGGATGCCTACGCTCTCTCATTTGGTTCTGGCTCCATCGAGGCATTCAAGGAAAGCCAGCGGATCTGGGTAAAGGACCAGAAGCCAGTATTGGAGACCAATCTGGGTTTCGTCGAAACCTACAGGGACCCTCATGGGGTGAGAGGAGAATGGGAAGGATTCGTTGCTCTGGTAGGAGTTTCTGTTCAACACGTTCTTCATGTATGGCAGGGCGGTTCACTGGCTAACTCGAACAGGTCAATTTGGAGAGAACCCGCGCTTTCGGTAAGCTGGTTGACAGTGCTGAGACCATGATTCCTAAATTACCGTGGAGTAAAGAGTTTGAGAAGGATAAATTTCTCAGCCCCGACTTCACGTCTCTTGAGGTGTTGAGCTTCCAATGCTCTGGCCTCCCCGCTGGAATCAATCTTCCCAATTATGATGACATTCGGCAAACCCTTGGATTCAAGAACGTTTCCCTTGGAAATGTTCTCAGTGCTAAAGCACCCAACGAGCCCATCCCATTCATACCCGATAGATACCTCAAAGTGTACAGTGAAAACCGTGATGCTGCGTTTGAGGTTCAGGTTGGCATTCATGAGCTGCTTGGTCATGGGACTGGAAAGCTACTGCAAGAGACGTCTCCTGGAGAATATAATTTCGACATTTCCAACCCTCCTGTAAGTCCCGTGACTAACAAGCCTGTCACAACGTGGTACAAACCTGGCCAAACCTGGGGCTCCGTGTTCGGGGCTGTCTCTTCGTCTTATGAGGAGTGTCGTGCAGAATGCGTTGCAATGGTGCTTAGTTGCGACTTTGAGATTCTCAAGCTCTTTGGGTTTGGCGACGGCCAGGTGGACCTTACGAACGATGCTGGTGATGTTCTCTTCGCGGGTTACTTGTCGATGGCTCGCGCCGGTTTGGTTGCGCTCGAATTTTGGGATCCCAAGACCCAGAAGTGGGGACAGGCTCACATGCAGGCCCGCTACAGTATCTTACGAACCTTCCTCGACGCTGGTGACGATTTCGTCAAGCTTTCCTACAGCAAACCGGATCTTTCAGATCTAGAGATTCACCTGGATCGGTCGAAGATTCTGTCACATGGCCGGCCGGCTGTGGAGAAATACCTGCAGAAGTTGCATGTGTATAAGAGCACTGCGGACTTCGACTCAGGCAAGAAGCTTTATGATGAGATCACCTCCGTCGATGCGTGGTGGGGTAAGGAAGTCCGCGAGGTGGTGCTGAAGAATAAGGTTCCTCGCAAGATCTTCGTCCAGGCGAACACCATCCTCAACGGAGACGAGGTGACGCTCAAAGAGTACGAACCTACCCTCGAGGGTATTATCCAGAGTTACGTCGAGCGCGACGTTTAGCCATTTCGTCTGCAGACAGCCTCGGCAGCATGTTTGTTCTTTACACTAGATCCCGGCCATCGGATGATCTATAATTAACCTGTGTCCAGGGCATGCAGAGCATGTGCGGGTGCAAAATTTGCCAAATCAACTAAATCAAGCGATAAAGATGACTCACGCTGTTTGTATTCAAGGCAAGCCGTCGAGGCAAGCAGCCCTTGCGGTTGAGCAATTTGAAGTAGCGCTTGCGGTACGAGCGAGGTGACCATGCGAGTAAGAAGAGTACGTGCGGGCAAGGTTTCATACTATGTATATCAAACCAAGCGGTTAAGGGGAAGTTAACTTAACTTTAATCTGGTATTAGTCAGAAGTAAGCTCTTATCCAGAGTAAGCAGCCCTGCAAAGCAGCCCTGAAGATGAGTAGGAGAAGGAACTGAAGATAAAGAATGTTGTGAGGTGGTGGGTATTGCAGTGGACGGTCATGTGACAAGGGACTGAACAAAGCCATTTGGCTTCTCAAACGTGCATGTTCTAGGTAGAGTTACGTTCGCGCGAAGGCAGAGTATAGTCACAGGCACTGTACAGTACTACACACATTTCGTATGGTCAGTCACTAATTGCAATGGGAATGGAGCTGGGGCGAGAGGACGGATGGGCAAGGGACGGACTAGCGACCGACCACTTTTATCACCTTGAGTAGCTACTCTGGCTTACTAGTACCGCCTGAGTTAGTAGAGTACTTACTTGGTGGTCACTCAGTAGTTACCCGCGCGCTCAGGTCCGTTATCATTATTACTATTGCTGCTTTGCTGCTTTGCTGCTTTGCTGCTGTCCCTCCCTCCCTAAACGCTCCCTGCCGCCTTTCCTCTCCTCTCCTCTCCTCTCCTTCTCCCTCTTCCACTCCCTCTCTTCACATTCCTCAGCGTCACCTCCGCCCAAACTAGTAATCCGTCTACAGATACCCCCTCCGTCTAATTTTGCTTTCTCGCTATTTTTGATTCTGCTAGCATCCTTTTCTGATAGAACCATAAAGGTCGAATCCAACTACCAGCCTCAACTGTTATGTGTCAATACCCTGAATAATACAGATCGAGGCACCCACCCCAAAAGACTCCTCCTGATCGTCACTGCACATACCTAAAGCTCCTACGACCGACGACCGACCAGTAGACGACTGGCAAGACCTTCACAACGACAGACGCCGAGCGCTCACCTCCTGATTCTGCCACAAACCTCGTCACCTTGTCGTGGTTACCGAATTCCTCTGGCTCGCCTCCCACGGCGCGGCCGCATCATCGAACGACGGACTCCGTAACGGAAGACCAGGACGAGGACGACTTCGACTTCTATACTGCACCACCACCCCACTCTCCTTGCTCGGAGGCTTCCACTTCCAGCTTTTTTTCATCCAATCCTCCTCCTTTCTCGTCTCTTGTTTTCGTCGCGGCGTCGGATTCCAATCGCGCAAAGGATACTGTCACACCGTCCGGCTCCACCCTCACCCCAGCTCTCGTTAATTCCCTACCCAACGAGGGTCTCAGACCGGAATCATCAACATCGTTAGTTGCCGAAGTTAAAGCCTCACTCTCTCGAGACATCAAACCAGATTCCTCAGCGAAGGCAGCGGAAGAAGGCGAGCCTCCTCCACCATATACCGAAGGATCAAGTCCACTCGAGTCTTTCACGTACGTCATGGCTGCAGCAGGAGGCGCGTCGAGTATCATCACCCAGGTACAACAGGCTGGAGGGCCGCCGATCAATACATTAGGAGGTATGCAAATTCATCAGTTCTCTGCACCCGGTCAAACAGTTCATGGCTGATTCGTGCTATCTACAGACATTGGTGGCGATGAGCACATTACTCTAGACCTTAGGTATGCGCGTGGATTCTTTTCTTCGCAAGCAGGTAGCATCTTGATCCTTGGCACTGACATGTCCGAAGAGGTACTCGATTTACACTTTCCCGCGATGAGTTGTTGACTTTGCCGGAATTTGTTCTTCTGTCATTGTTTCCGAACGGCCTCCTCCCTGATGGACATATGGGCACTTTCCATGAAGGTGACATTTACCCTGTTGACGTAAGTGACTCCCTGCCAGCGTATGTGTGGCCATGACTCTGGCTCTGCAGTCTCTCGGACCCTATATCTCATACTGTCATCTCCAGTACGATCCGGCTTCTTTACAGTATATGCTGGATTTCTTCCGCTCGGTTGCCCAGTCAATTCCGTCTTCTTCGCCTTCCCCTTCGACCTCCCAAGATGTGGACGTGCCCCCCGATTCCATGCAGGCATCTGCCAGGGACATGCTTCAAGATCGGGCTGGCATCATTGTCTTGCGCGAAGATTTGGACTTTTACGCGATACCTCCTCGCCCTGACATAGATCATGCACAGATGATGGAAGTCAAGCGCGCGGCCGCGAAAGCTTTGCTGAAGCAGGATGGAATATTCTCTGGTTTGAGGAAAAGCGACGAAGCAGGTTCGACGGAACAGCATCTGATTGAGATGCTTACTGCAGGGTAAGCTCTCCACATGTTCTATGCCCAAGGAAATCAGTGTATGCTAATGATGTCTAGCGGGTTCAATCGTGATGATCGATGGGGTCACCGTGCCCCGGAGCCTAATAAAGCAGTCATTTGTAGCTTGGCATTAGCCAAGCTTCGAACTGACATTCGAAGTGATCTGGAGAATAACAATGCGGTGGGGATGGCTCAAAAGCTCCTTCTCTTTTGGCGGAAACCAGCAAGGAGATGTTGGTGGGAAGGCGTTGAGCTACATGATGTCGAAGGGGTAGACGGCAAGGTTAAAATCTGGATTCGGCGAGTATGGACACTGGAAATGGTAAGACTTTCCCGCAAAATCCCGGATCTACAAGAGCTTCGCTTACGATGATGCAGAGCGTAATTGGGCTCCGGTAGCCAGAGACAGTAATTTTTCTCCTTGTTTATTATACTTCCCCGAAAATCTATATTTATTGTCCTTAGCCGTACATCGCATCTGTCTCCCCATATTGTTGGTGCATGTTAGATCTTTCACGCGTGAAGTTGGCGACTTCCGGCGAAATCTCGAGTCTTCTCAACTACCGCATGGTACGCAAGGGAAATGGGCCGTCGCTTCTTATGTAGGATTTTAGTAAGACCCCTGGAATGATTCTCAACAAGGTAGCCTGAAAATGTCGGCTTTTACAACTTCGGGGCCATTATGGATTACACCCTCAAAATCATATCATACTTTGAACCTGATAACATAGAATTCTTCATTCTATTTTATGTATTGTTAGCGCAAGAACTACAGTATCCTATCATTGCTGGGTATCCCCACGTACCATCACGTATCATCACGTGCATGTTGTGGACTAGAAAAGGACTAGCGCCGGTCTGGAATCTCTGCCGGCAAAGCGCGACGACCAGAAATGGCGGAGGTCGACCGCGATGACCGTCTAGAGGCCCTTTAGCATCATTCCAATTCTAACGATTTCAATCTGCTCACTTTGTCGCGCAAACCAATTTGCTGGTGCGCATTCCTCTCTACTTGCGATCCTTGGTCTCCTTTCCATATCCACGATTTCCTACTGTTGTCAGTAGCAGTTGCTTCTTCCCTTCATCGCGTTCAAACATTGGTGAATCTGTTCGCCCAGTCGACTTCTGCAGTGTCTGAAAGGGACATGTCTTTGACCAGCTCCATGGCCAACATGTCCCCTCTCAGAGGCTATATCACATCTTATCCTCCGCGTCTACGCCAATATGGAAACGCCTTACTTACTCCCGTAATCGCTCCGAGCCAGGCCGGTCCGGCGCCGCGAACCAAGCGAGGAACTGCGGCCATCAATTATGCAGAAGACGGCTTTGATGATGATGACTTTGAAGACAGTGAAGGTCCTCGGCGTCCCACGGGGCTACGGAGTCTCCGACGAGAGGATTCAACTTTCGACAAGGTCCCCTTGGCCGAAAAACTGGGGAAAGAGGTACATGCTCCTGTGGAGGTTCAAGGGGTATTCCGTGACTGGATGATCAAGCGAATGTTGCGACCAGCGTATGTCCAAACCTCACACCTTTCCGTTACCCAGCTGGCCCTGTTATTTGATTTGTGAAGATGTGTTTCTTTGCGAGCGCTAACTCTACGCTTCCCTTTGCGCCTCGTCCAGCTGTGCCGATCAATTACAGATCCAGGCGCAACTACCTCTCACCCTTATACCCATTCGAATTGACTTGGAGGTCCCAGCGCATCAACCTCTCGAAGCGTTTCCCCAGCCGCGAACCATGCTCGATCCTGGAATCACAACCACACTGCCTGCATACAGAAAGCAGGACCCATTACCAGCCTACCGAATCAAGGATACTTTTCTTTGGAACCTCCATGAAGCTCTCGCCACCCCCGAAGAATTCGCAATCGGATTTGTTCGCGACATGGACTTACCCAACCCACAGGCGATGACGATGGCCATCAGCAACCAAATACGCCAACAATTGGAAGAATACGCCGGCGTTGCCCTACATCCCTTGTTTCAAAGCGTACCAAGCAAACCAGCCGCTTTGCCGTCGGCCATGTCAAGGGACGTGTCTGCTACACCCACTCTAACCTACGCCGCTACCCCCGACAGCAGAGCCAACCAGGTGACGGTGACGAAGGAACCGTTGATCAATGACAGTTTATTGAATCCCGACGACGCATACAGATGCATGATCAATCTGAACATCAACTTGCAGAACAAACTGTACACCGACAAATTCGAATGGTCACTCCTGCATCCTCCCGGCATGGCGGAGGAATTCGCTCGGATCACCTGCGCGGATCTAGGCCTCGGTGGAGAATGGGTCGGAACCATTGCCCATGGCATTTACGAGGCAGTACTCAAGCTGAAGAAAGAAGTGTGTGAAAGTGGCGGGCTGATCAGTAGCATGGGTGGCTACGGAAACGAGATTGACAACCAAGCGGCTAATGGGGCCGAGGCGGGCTGGCGATATGACCCTGAAGGACTGGGTGATGATTGGGAACCTAAGGTGGAAACACTGTCCAAGGAGGAAATTGAGAAGCGCGAGGGCGACCGTGAGCGGCAAATCAGACGTCTTCGGCGAGAGACTGCCAGATTCTCTTCAACGGCAGGCATCACCCCAGAGGCTTCTCGACAAGGAAGTGGCTATTTCGATGTCGACAGTGAAACTCCCTTGGGCAGAGGCGAGAGGAGCAAGCGCAAGAGGCGGTTCCGGAGTCTGAGCCCGGCTGGTAGGGGCGGAACGCCCGGAGGTCGAGGCACACCCGATACCGGGTCTGGTGCAGGTTACGGTGGAGGTGGTGGAACACTTTCGGAATGGTCTGTCGTCTCCCTCATCCTCATCATCTGCGATACCATTGTGGTTGTCATATCACTAACACCCAATCGGCAGGGAGCGACAAAATTGGCGGTGCACGAATTGCTTGGTATGGGGTACGGCAGTCTGGGCTGTACGAGACGGACCGACGGGCCCAAGGGTAAGTCAGATGCATCTACTCTATTGACTCTGATTGCGCACCCCAGCTGACCTGCATTGATTGCTAGACGCTCTGTCACAATTGTGGGTTGCTGTACGAACGGGATAAGATTGCGCCGGAGTGGTCAAGGGATCTGCATCGTCATGATATGCCAATTGGACGGTAGTATCTGGGGGGGGGGTTTAGCATGAGGTGAATATGACAGAATCAGTCCAGAGAGATGAATCACCTGACGGGGGATGAATTCATGATGAGGAACCGATTAATATATCTAATATAACAAAGAGCATAAAAAACTCTGGCGAATCAAGTTGTCCATATTTGACCACGCACAAGAATTCCCATCAAGGCAACCCAGTCCCCCTCTACTGACCCGCACCATCCAGCCCCTTAGTGATGGTATTTACATACTCTGCAGCGTCCATCCCCAACTTGGCCAGGTCCACCCCGCCCTGCCCAGCCATGGCGCGCGACATGGCACGGACCACTTCCTCTTCCTCCCAGATCGAGGCTGGTGCCGCCGACGAGGCAGCCGGCGGCGCGCCCGGCCCATCTTCCCTTACCACCTGCCGCGCCCCCTCCCGGAGCGCCGCCGGGTTGTCCACATCCAGCGCGACCACCGTCCGCCAGTAGGCATCATCGCGATCCTTGAGCACCCTGTCGCGCACCACCGTGTTGCGGGTGACGCTTAGGGCGTGCAGTTTGGACGTGGCACCGCTGAGCGCGGACAGCGCGGCCGACACGAGCTGGCCGACCTGCTCGGCCTGGGACGGCGGCGCGTAGAAGAACCGGCGGGTGGCGGAGAGGTAGATCAGCAGGGCGGCGATGCCATCCACGACGGCGAGGGCCAGGGGCCGCAGCAGACCCAGCTGGTAGTACGCGGCGGGGGGCACGGTGACGGACCCGGCGCGCACGGCGGCGGGCCCCGTCTGCACGGGGTCGTAGCCGAAGGCCAGGTACAGGTCCAGCAGGGCCAGGGCGCCGCCGGCGAGCGTGAACGTGTTGCGCCATCGGCTGGCGTCCGGGCCCGTGAGGGGCCGGGCGGTGACGGCACCCAGGAGGGCCATGTGGCCCAGATGCGGGAGCAGCACGTGCCACGGCAGGTAGTAGAGGATGTAGGTGGTCGGGTGGTCGAGCGAGCAGAACTGGCAGCGGGCCAGGGCGTCCGGGCCGAAGCGGAGGTAGAGCTTGCGCGCCGGCAGCGAGGTGAGCCGGGCTTTGAGGAGGAGGTCGGTCGCGGTCAGGGTGTTGGCGGGCCGCAGGCGGGCCAGCCGCGCGAACAGCACGTCGCTGGCGGTGTTGATGCGCGAGTGCGTGAGCGTGAAGATGCTCGGCGGCGGGGCCCGCGGGCTGAAGGGGAGGCTGAGCAGGAGGAAGAAGGTGATGGCGAAGAAGAGGAGGTTCAGGGCGCGCGCGGCATCGTGCGGCACGGGGCGAGGAGGGGGCCTGGTCGCTATCGACACGCGCAGGCTGCGGTACAGGTTGATGGCTCGCGGGATTATGATGGGCGCAAAGAAGATGAGGAATGACTTGATGCTGTTGGAGCCGGAATTCGGGTTACTGGATTGTTTGACAATATGAAAGGGGGAGGAAGTGATACATACGTTGCAAACGAGATCCCGAGTTCAACCATCTTGTCAATGTCTTGTGTGGTCAGGGGGGAGTTGTTGTCGCATCACTTGCTCTCTTTCTTTTAAAGCAGATGCGATGCACAGTGCAGTAGTGTTCCAGGTGGCCTTAAAGTGCCTGGCTGGAGGCGATCAGATCGCCCGCCGGCGCCAAGCGGTAGTGCCTGCGATCCGCCAATCAAGAGGGACCGCTAACTATAGAGTGAAAATGATAAACACAGGTGGCAGGGCTGCGAAGTTTACTTGCTATCATGGATCGGTACGGTGGATATTTGATTGTTATACTTACAGCGATCAATGATGGCTTCCTACTTCGATATTGCATACATAAATCTTTAAGGTTCTGATAAGACAAAAAAAAAGAAGTGGAATTGGATATCTCTTAGCCGATACATGTACCAACGCCATTGTGTATGCTCCGCTCAACCAGAAAGCACCGGTCTCCTACTGCCAACAAGTTATCCTACCTAGTGGCTGATGCAGTGTCCTATATGCGCCCCCCTTGCATTGCTGGATGATGCGAAAGATCTGGAATTGTGACTCCAGCCGAGTCTCGCGAATATTTGGACGATGCCGCGTCGCTGATATTCATCGGATTAAGTGGCGAGGAAATCTTGAGTGGAAAGCGAGTGCTGTTCCGCTGAGACATGTGTCTCCGCACCGAGCTCTGCGGGCTGTATGTTGGCAGAGATTCCTCCCGCTTCATGCTCAGCTGGAATGACCGTTGGCTTCCAGCTCGCGATACCACTTTCTGGGGCGCCACTGCTCCATAGAGGCGGACATGTCGTGCACTGACTCCGATGTCACGGTCAGAGAACACGAAGCTCTATTGGAGATGGAATTGTTAGCAGCTATGTCAGACTCAGGGTTGTAGGAGCCGGCTTACCGCAGCCACGTTGACCACGCTCATGATCATGGATAATATACCAGCGGAGAGGACGAGGCGCCAAAACGGCATGCCCAGTGACTCCTGGCTTGTCGCCTTCGTGTTGAGGTCGCCCAACACACCCACTCCCAGTACCAGCATTGCGATTGCCAAGGTAATGAAGCCCGACTCCTGCCCTAGTAAAGGCCAATTGCGGTCAAAGTAGGCGCGCAAGATGGGGAGCTCGGAAATGATGAGGAAGACTGGTCACCGTGCAAATCAGCAACTTTGCGCTCGGAAACAAGGCAATAACGGAAATAGAATCGAGACCAAGTACTTACTGCTGACTCCGGCCGTAGCCACACGAGAGACTGCCTCGAAGAAGAAAAAGCTGGTCAACAGCGAGATCTTCACCAGCATCACTGCACTAGCAGCGATGATGTCAAGAAAGACGATTATATTGATGACGCGAATGGCATTGAGAATCACATATCCTGGGCCCGCCAAGGATTCTTGCAGTGAGGCCATCATGGTCTGGTCAAAGGTTAAGAAAAGAAGATAAATCTCAGGCTCTAGCCGAGAAGCTTGATCAAGTCTGTGCCAGCCAAGTGTGCATGAATTATGTATGGGTGTTATAGTCTTCTCCAAAAGCGAAACTGGAACCACTGAGAAGAAAAGATACTTGAACGAGAAAGCCAAGTCAAGGGAAGAAAGGAAATAAAGACTGGGCCCGCAGCCGGAGATTATCTGGTGGGAGTCAGTTGGAAGAAAGAGAGGAGGACCACGAGGTCGACGAGGGTGTTAAAGAGAGCCAGGAGTCTCTGGCTGGAGACCTGACGGTGTCGGTAGTGACTGCTTGGTGTTGTTATGGGTAGCTCAGCCCTGAGACAGGCAGGTATAGGGCAACCATTGAATGAGGCTTCCATACCGAGGGCAACAAAAACAATAATAGACACAATGGGTGAAGGACGGGGAACCCTGAAACACTCTCACAAAGCCTTTGGAAAGATCAGAGCCACTCATCTCAATCAGTTGTATTTCTTCTTGCTTGTTTGGGTGGCAATTGGCGCCTAATTGAATGAATTGGAGCTGTTCACGCTCTTCGTGGAGGAGGGGCCTTCCTTGTGCGGCTTTGGGCGTCCAAAGGAGTCCGACCCCAGCGCTTATGGTGCTGATATGGAATGATATGGAACGAGAAGAAAGCTTTCATGTTGTTATGTGCGGCTGTAGACAGCCCCTTGGGTGAGGATGGCGCTTCTAATCGGTGGAGGATTGGATGGTCAGTCAGATAGGATGGGCGCTCCCGAGGTGAGGTCTTGAAACGAGCTATGTATAAGCCAATGAATGGGTTGATGAATTAAGCGCCCACCCTGCAGAAATTTGTCAAATTGTTAATAAGACCCTCCGGAGGGTTGACTGGTTCCCTTCTGTTATAGAATTGAGCACTACTATGCACGTGTGATGAATGATCCAAGTGGGTTGATGTATTAATGGGTAGTTGCAGCTTTCATGCTTCTTCGAGTGCCCAAGCCATCTGTCATATTTATGTACAGATACACACCAGAAGAAAGTGATGATATGATCAGGTGGAAGTAATCCGAGGTACTCCGTACCCACCAAGTCCTTCCCAGAAGACTGGGGCGGAGGCTCGGCCGGCAGGCCGCAGCAACCCCGTAAAACGAGGGGCGTGGAGAGGCAGAGGCAGAGAGAAAGAGAGAGAGAGAGAGAGAGAGAGAAAGAGAAAGAGAACCTTCCATACAACTTAAAAAAAAGGAAAACTTTTCCTTCCACAAGGCAAAGCCACCCTCCTGTTTCTTCGACACCCCAACCAACAGAACCGTACTGTTGGCAGCCCGCTGCACTTTTCTTTCTTTTCTTCTGTCTTTCTTTTGAAGTGATACACGGTTTGAATTCATCCGATCGATATCATCACCATGACTCGTGGCAACCAGAGAGATCGCGATCGCGCGAAGAACAACAAGGAGCAGTCCAAGAAGGTGAGCGTCTTTCAACTGCATGAGTGTATCGTCTCTGAAAACTAACAATATTTCTTTCTAGAAATCCAAGAACGAGCTTACTGGTACGGAGTTCCAGCGGAAGAAGGAGAGCGATGCTGCCAAAATGCAGGCCAAGCAGAAAGCAGGTAAGATAATTTCAACCGACCCCTGACAGAGAATGTCGGCCTCCAGATCCTTTGCACTCGATTCCACTGACGCATTCTACTTCGTTTTACAGCCGATGAGCGCCGAGCAGCCGAAGCACTTGCAGCGGCGAAGAAAAAATAACACTTCCCCCATTCTCCTCGATAGAACTCTCCCGGTTTTGTCCTCCCAGCCTGTCCGCCACTTCGTCGCCTCGCAGTCCGGGCACCGAGTACCTCGCCTATATATCCTTCCCAGATCATGCTTTTTGACACCCCTGTTTTGGCTATAAATCTTTGGGTCCGTGCACAATTCATGAGTTGGTCTGCCTGTGAGGCGCACGGCTATGATAGATCGCTTGCGACTATTTCGCACGGCCTCGGGTCTTTTCAACGTGATATGGAGACAACAGTATTCGTTTGGAAGCATGTTATGAGGACATGATAGCTAGCGAGGATTTCATTTAAGTTGGTCACATTTAGCGTTTTCAAGAGGCTACCGCACAAGTCATGCAACATCCTCATGGTCCACATGTATAGGTGTATGATGCGACGAGGTACGCATACTCCATGTCCAAGAGCACGCACGACCCGTTGTTGGAGCCTACAACCCTGCGCCTCTCTATCTGAACGGCTGACCATTGTCCTAATTGACCACTGGGCCAGCAGCCCAGACAGCCCTGGCCCAATCCAGCCAGACCTTCCAACCACCATTCGACCTCGTTCTTGGTAGCGGATGTTTCGCCAACGCATCCCACTGAGACGCCCATTGCCCATCCTTAGTCAAACAATCGCCATCTAAGTTGATTGACGCTGAGTACACAAATATCCACAGACTCTCGCCCTCCCAACCGATATCCAGGGCGAACTGTATCACCTGACGCACTGCGTCACTGCGGATCTCATATTGGGGTATTCTTTCGAGTAAGAACTCAGTAAATGCCCATCCAGATATGTCGGAAGGGTGGGCTATACACCACTGCAGGGCTTTCTGTATCATAGATTCAGCCAGTAGCGTAGAGGCATCTTGACCACCATCACCTGTACCCGACGCGGCACCAACGACCTCCCTTAAATAAGTAAAGGCGTAGTAATTTCGAGGGTGGAGTTCTCCAGCCCGAAGAACTATGGCCAGTTCGTCATTCAAAATCCCTAGGATCACTTCGTGCGAGAGCTCATCCGGCTGCTTCAAGGGCCGCCGTTGAAGGCGCATCAAGCGAGTCAGGAGCCATAAGCGGTAATTCCACAATGTCGGGGATTTGGTGTGTCGATGCAATGGAGAGCAGAGGAAGGTCTTGGTCAACGAGAGTTCCTTGCTCAAAGCATCGATGAGCGACCGATGACGCTCATTGTCAGAATCAGCGGGACCGTGGCGTTGGAGAGAAGCAGTCAGGCGTCTTCTGCGCCAGTTGCATGCCGTCAAATGCTCGCAGTCAAAGAGGAGAATGATCTCTGTGGACACAAGGAGGAGTTCATCCGAAGGGGAATTCCAGTGCCCAGGGTGGGAGGGAATGTTCTCATGTCCAGGCCCATCGAGGGACTTCCCATTCAAAGCGCCGAAGAAATTGCGTCTTGCTGTGACGAAAGCCTGGACTAGGTACTTCTTGGCGATGCCAACCGAGTTACCATCCTGTAGGAGGGGACCTAGACCAGGAGGAAGTATCTCGATCTCGAGAACCTCGTTGTTTTGGTATCTAGCTGAAAAGATCTGGGCGAGGTCATGAAATGCGGCTTCATGATTTGAAGGAGGGGACATTGGGCATCATCCAGCCTACTGCATAGCGGCCATCAAAAGAAAGAGAAAGCCCGTAGTCTTCCACCAGTCGGTACGCAGCAGAAGTACTAGGTAGGTAGTCTACCTAGTTAGTTGGGTGATTGAAGAGTCGATGTGTATGGACCGGAGACTGAAGAAACGCCGCAGCCGACGGGCGGGTTGAGAAACGTGACAACGTCATTCCGATTTCCCTTCCGCAGGCTTGAGGGTCAACTTTTGTTCTCGATCTGCTTCCGTGTGACTCTGGACCTTTTTGGCTACATCTCTCTGACTTATCATTTACGACCCGAATCCGGGTGGAAAACCTGCGCCGCATTGCATACGCGCACTCAACACGGTCGCAGTTTTGTGGGCTTGCTGTCCATTTTCCACCGAGACTTCCCCTCTCCTCCATTGTCAACAACCATAGCACCCGATCCATCATGTTGCCTCTTGTGGGGATTGTGCTTTTCGTTCACATTGCCATCTACCTTGTGAACACCGTCGGTGCGACTACGATTGACAACCTAGTACGTTGACCCCGGAATTACCCTTCAATGGTTCCCTTGACTACGATCCACCTATACGAGAACATATGTCCTAAAATGATATGATTACGTCTAGTTATGGCTTCTCTACCTGAGACTCCCGACCCCAACATCTAGGAAGTTCCGCGAGCAGAACCGTCTGAAGCGCGAAGTTGTCCAACTGAAACGGGACATGAACAACACCAGCTCGCAAGACGAATTTGCGAAATGGGCCAAGCTACGAAGACGACACGACAAAACGATGGAGGAATATGAAGCCATGAGTACGTTCCCCGAGCAAAATCGCCTACCATTTTCTTTTTCTTCTTCTTCTTCTTCTTCTTCTT